AGCCCAATCTTGCGGTACTGTTGCAATGGTACCACTCCTAATTATAAGAATATTTCTTAAATACAATAATAATAAAAATAATGCTCAAATTACCATAACAAAATGACACCGGATGGTACAAGTGGAAGTGCTACAAAGAGAAACATGCAGAATATTTTTGTTCGTAGCGTGATCAATACATAACTAGCTAATGTATTAAAAGATACTAGCCATCAATGTCATCTGTCTTAGATATAGAGTAAAATAAGCTACTTACTTGTCACTGATGCAGTTGTACTTACTAAACAAAACCTATTATATATTCAACAAAGTGATGTTTTCAAACAGATTACTTGTATGATCTCTGCAGTAGCGTGTTGGTACGTGAAAGTGTAGAATACAAACAGAGTTTTCGCAGTCATCCTCGCACATACCACCAACATCCCGAAAAGTCAAATTATTCTAGTTTTTTTCATCGTTCAATCAGATCTCTTGAATGAATATAAATGTGGTGCAAGCGACAGCAATAGGATATTCTGGCAGGTTTTCTCATCAGTAAAAAGATAAACGAAAAATATGTGCGAGAGAAAACTAACTAACAGTTGGTTATATTATAAGAAGAATAATTTGTTTCTTGCTCTGAAAGCTGGAACTGTTTGATAATTCTTTCGAAATGAACTAAATCGTTCATTTCATTCTTTATTCTAGCGGGAGAAGATCTAAGTAAACGACATCAGTAAGAATGAAGGTATAGTTTCATAAATTGATAAAATTAACTTTAATTTCTTGAACAAATAGAAACTGCATATCTCAAAATATGGCATGAAAATACTGACCATTTTGTTTGGTATACAAGACAACTATAGGACCTAATATAATTCCAGCCACTAATGCACCGAGAATTATCGATGCTGAAAACCAATAAGTGTTTGTTAGTGATGTTCTATCCATTATTGCAGGAAGAGGTTTTTCTTCTTCAAAAGCAACTTTTTGTTGACTGTTATATGCCTGTGGAAGAGATGGCGAACCACCCATGTCTTTCACAAACAAGCTAGTATTGCTTATTAATTTGAATGAAAATGCGCAAATAATAACTTTATTTCGTCTGACGAATTGTCATACATTGTTATTCATAAGAGAAATATAATTTACACAAATTTTTTGATTAGTATGGTTCGAGCCTCATGGAGGTTTTGTGAAGAATATTTCTACAAAACATTTTACAGCTTCATTTTCATTATTCTTTGACTTCTAATGTTTCATCTTGTTTATTACAAGTATCATTAATAAAAATACACTTCCTTACGTTACAATAATATTAAATTGAATTGCTTTTTTCGGGTAATATTTTCAGAGTATGTAATGAATAGAGCAGAAAAGAAATCGGACCATCGATATATTTACATTACTTTTTTTCTTTTTTAATTTTGAAACTGACACAAATATTCAGCAATGACATTTATTCAATTATTGAAAAAATCAAATTATATCTAGTTCTTTAGGTTAATTCGAATTACTCTAGGGTGGGTATGGATGGTTTTTGATCTCAAGAGCGACACCAACATTCTTACCCATCCTTGCATCTTCACTCTAAATAATCTGAGTTCGATTAGAATTATAGATTGAATAGTTTATTTTATGATAAAACTATTATTGAAGCAATAAAGATTAAAAAGCAAAAGAGATAAAATAGGAATTGGATGTTCTAGCCATTTATATTGAAATTCTTTTATGTGTTAAGTTGTTCTGGCTTCAATAAACCGGCTGATGTCATTTTTGTGACATAGTCTTGAACCGCATGTTCAATTGCACCAGTTCGGCTTGCGTACTGTGTACTTTCGCCCATAACAGTCGGACTAAGTGATGGACACGAAAATTTGCCACTCCATTTCCATTCCCAATCATGGAAACCACCTTTAAATTGTGAATTACATGTTGTACCAAAAGCTTGCTTTGTATCCACATCACTCCATGATGCGTATTGCTTATAAACAGCAGATCCTACTGTTAAACCACATACCACATAGTTTAGTGCCAAACAGCTACTCAAATCAGCATCAAGAGAATTAACCTTATGATTGATACTAATACCAAGAAGGACGACGACCACCAACAATATATATATGGAGATTTTCATCACGTATAATAGCTTCTACTAATGAAAAAAGAATAAAGTAACATTGAATGTTCTGAGTTTCTCTTTATATAGTGTCAGTGTGCATTATGTATATTCTGGTTACGTATCAAGATAGACATATTCATTATAAAAACGGAAGAAATAACAAACCTTATGCGTAGTTTATTTTTGGCAATGTTTCTTGATCATCGGTTTTATTAAAACCTTATGTCCATTCGACAGTGAAAGTTATTTCAATATATTTCTCTTTTAAAAAGAGCACGATTGCTATTTTTAATGAGAACATTGCCTTATTCGGAACATTATTCACGTAGAGGACTGAAAATAGTCAAATCATCAAGTATTTATTAATCATAGTTTCTTGAGATTTACGTGAAACGAAGCATATGTCACTTGATAATGAAGAAATATTATAATTTTTAATATATTCACGCACTTTACATACGAATATTGGATTATTCCATTTTTAAATTAATCAGTTAGGCATTCAAATACTTAAGGAGACTTGAGGTAATTGTGTGCATCCAAATGTATAAAGTTCTCATTTGAATAAACATTTAAATTGTCGAATGGATGAAACGAGTTCATAATTTCATTTTTCCTCGAGAATGTGGCTATCATGTTCCACCTAACTGCATAGCAATAAAAAATTTATTCTAATAAAAATCAAGTTATTACATTGATAAACGAAATATTATTTACAAATTTATCCAACTTAATATTGACATATTAGAAAAGATAATAACAAACTATAGTTTTATCAACAACTCCACAAGTTTAAAGTAATTTTAAATCATAAACTAGGTTTACTCGTGCTGAACACTACAGCAATATGATTTATAAAAAGACTGAATCTTATAGCAAATGCATTATATTAAGTTATTTTTAACTATTCTAAACTTCTTCAAAACAATTACGAAATACGTTGGTGAAATTAACTCTACATATTATTTATTATTTTTAAAGCATTTATTCAAAAAAAAAGCACAAAACTTCAATTTTAACCCATCCACATCTGCGGAGCATGAATGGAAACGTCTGAGATAATTTATTAAATCCATAAATGACCACACTTTTCATAGTAGTCATAAGCAAATGAGTCTTTACTCTGTAAATAACTATGATCATTAAACCATTGATGAACAGTACTACGTCTATTTTGTGATAGAGGACCTTTGAGACAAAGATAAATGAGTTCTTCTTCTCTCCACATTTCGAGACCTTGTAAGAAAAGCGAATCGATGTCAGCTGATGAATCACTTATACAAAGAACCATATGACGAAGATTTGTAAATTTTTTAATAATCAAATCTAACTGTATCTTTTGATTGTGTTCTAATCGAAAAATTTCAAGACGTACAATTCGTTTTTCTAATAATTTACATAATGATTCGTCATTGATTATTCTATTGTAACAATCGAAAGTTATTGACAAATCATTAAGATTAGGAGCTGCTTCAAGTATACGAAATAATTCACACGATCCAGCAACTTTTAGTTTTTTGAGTTGCGGTAAGTGTAAAACAACTGATTGTGTTTCAATAGCTGAAGTATAGAAAATAATATTAGTTCTTATCAGAAATTAAATTACATACGTGTTTCTAAATCCATTTTTAAATCCACTCTGAATGTTTCAATTCCATGAAGATGTTGCATAATCATCAACATATCAATAGAAGATAATTCTCCCCGAATACGTAGATTTCTAACTTTCTGCATGTATTTCCAAGCGGGTAACATACTTTTACCTAGTATTGAAGGAATAACGAGCGATTTTCCATTGAAAGGAACGGTATGAATGAGAGCATATTGATTGGATCCATCTGATAATCGTGTCATTGAAATCTGACCTCGTGGCCATGTATCAAGCGAAGTATCAACTTCGATAGATGGTTCTGAAAAATGATATACAATGAAGAAATCCATCTGTATTTGTGATGATGGAAGAATTGTAGCGAGATCTTGTTTGTTAACGAGACGTCTATCTTCTGTACTTAGATATAATGCTAATCTCTGTAAAGATGGCATCTTACACATTATATCTTGAATATTTTCAAATGTCCAAGACATTTGGATCGAATATAATTGAAAGTCTGTTAGATGAATAAGAGCTGGTACATTCTTTAATGATGCTGTTGACACAGATGGTGCTACTCCAAGATTTATATGTAAACGACGTATATGCACTAGAAGTGTAAACAAATTTCCTAGCATCTCACAATCTATCAAGTTAACAGTCAATTCTTCAATATTTGGATATAAACTTGTTTTATCGATTATTTCCAATGGTAAAAAGATTGAATTTTGATCGAATGTTATCGATCTTAATCGACAATTATTAATAGATAAAACTCGTTCTAACAATTCACTTTGAGAGTTATCCATGAGATATTTTATATTAAGTTTGACAAGTTTTAAGGGACTTTGCATTTTTTCAAGAAATGTACATAAGTGTTCACCAGTAAAATATTCTAATGTTAACACCTGTAAATTAGGGAACATTAATGATAAATTCGAATGGAGATGTATCGGATCTTTTTTATATGATAGAAAACTTGTCCAATTTCCATTGAGTACAAATGATTGTATATTTGAACCTATTTGAGATAAAATATTCGACAAAACACAATTAAATTGTTTATGTGTAGTATTATTAAGATCCAAATTATAACAAAATCCACTTATTAACACATTGAAACGAGTATTGAGATTGAACAAAGAATAAAGAATATCGGTATTACGAAGATATTGACAAATGTGCAATATCATTTCGTTTGGTAACATTTCAAAAGTCGAAATTGTATTCATCTAGAACGAAAAAGTTTATAGGCACACAACGTTGTATGTAAAAATACAACTCATAGAAAGAAATTGACCATTTCTATGCTATGAGAATTTATTATAAAAGGAAAAACTCGGTTATATTTCGTTTTTAATGAGAATAAACGAAAAAGAAAGAAAGAAACCGCGAGGCAGCTACGTGGCAACCTTATTCATATGACACTTTTTTCTGTAGTCATTTGCTTGTGTCGATTAATATTTTTTTGATTTATTTTTGTTTTCTTCTGAAAATAATAATAATATATACATGACGCTACGACAGCGAAAGAAAAGAAAATGGTAAAGGTATGGACATATTTATACATTCTTAGCAAAACATCGTTTTATTCGTCCTATCGATAGCAGATGCATTTTTCACTATCGACATCTATACGAAAATTACAGAGAATGAATAAATTGAAAAGATTCTAATTTATTTCATACTAGAACATGTGAGAGTAGAAAATACTTTTCATTTCAGTAGACTTTGCGTATTTGATATAAGCTTGTTGATATTTGCAATGACGGATGATACTTAATTTTAACTGTGCATCCGTAAGTTATGAATATGTTCAATAGATTATTTTTTATTACATACACTTAACTATAGTCATCAATAGCTAAATTTCTTGATCAAAAATATCACAAATTAGACCCCCTCTTTAGGCCTCTGGTATATATTTTATCTATTTTAAATGATCGAAAATCTATTCCTTTTTTTTAATCAAATATAGGAAATATTATTACAAGAAAAATATGAATGGTTAACCATTTTTAAAGTTTTTTGTTTCAATAGCTCGTTCTAACCATGGAAAACAATCTGATACAATAAGAATATAAATTCCAATTCCAATAAAAACTACCGGAATAATATATCGTGCATATTTTTGTGCAATTGATAATATTGGTTTATAACTAATAAAACAATATGAAATAATAAGCCAAATAAATACCATCAAAAGAAATATTCCAATATAACCAACAATTTGCCATTTCGATGCTTGAGCAAATAATGGTGTATAGATTGCAATATTATCAATACCATTTGCTATAGTTACGCCTGCAACTTTTAATGTTTGAATATTGAAATCATAATTACGAATTTTTGAAAATTTTTCTTTTAGTTTATTTTTTGAAGACATGTCAATATTTGTATCTTGTGATTGTCGTCTTGTCGATTCGGATGTGTAATCTCCATCCGTTCTATCTTCGCTACGAATTGATTCAAGTTCACTTGCTGAAATATCATCATCATTTCGAAAGAGATTAATTATACCTTTGATGCCAAGAATTATTGGCAAAAACCCAAGAAATCCTAACATTTGAACAGGTAATATATATGATGTAGCATAACCAATAAGACTAAGTACTAATAATATAGAAAAACCTAAATATTGACCAAAAAATATATCATAAACCTTAATTCCTGAATTTTGTGTTGCTGCTTCAGTAAAAAAACCCATTAAAACAATAATATCATCAATATTTGTAACTATAAAAGTTATAAATGCTGTTCCAAAAAATTCTCCAAGACTTCTATGATTTTTATGCATAATTGTCTTGTTATCCAGTAATTATCTAAGACTAAAATTTTACTATGTATTTAAATATTAACTAATACTTACTAATGTATGAATATTATAACCTTACCTGAAACCACCATGAGATAGTTTATTATGTATGACTGAATAAAAAAATGTACACGTTGTATGTTTTGTATTAAGAAAGAAAAGAACAGTTTGTAATAAGATAATAATTGGATTATATTTTGTAGTTCTGCTTCAGTGAAGTATAACATATTTCTATCTTCTTAAATATAATTTTTAATGATTGTGAAGATATTTTATTATGAAACATATTTACTGTAGATTTACAATAAAATATAATATACATAAATCGAATACAAATTTAAAGATATATTCAATTCAACATCGTCAATTTATGTATGAATGTTAAATAACTAAGAATTCTCTTCGATGAATTCATTCGAATAATACATAATTATTAAATCTTTAATATTAAATAACGCAATGAAAATATTTATAATGTTAAAAATTTTCAGAAAAATGTAACATATTCACATTTATCTTAGATAGATTTGTTTATCAATCAAAGTTAAAACTCGATAGTAGGGTTTAGCAATAAAATATGACTTATTTAAAGACTAATTCAATTAGATTTGAAAGATTTTTGATAGAATTATTTTCTCAAAAGATATTTTTTATATTACGTACTCAATGTCTTTTACCAAATATTTTCCTTTTGAATATTCAATACGAAAACTTTTTGTTATTAATTTCATCAATGGAGATATACTTGAGGGTGATGATATTATTTTATGTATATTTAACTGAATGACAACAATAATAATAAAAATTTAAACTAACCAATCAAAGTGTATATGTACAAATAAAAAAGTAAGATAATAACAATTATGAACATTATTGTTTTTGTTTCCAACCATGAGGTGTCTCATCGTCACTAAGACCTTCTTCATCTGAACTATGTCTATCTTCCTTATTCAAAATCAAATTATGCATTTTATAAGTATATGATGAATCAGAATCGTCAGCATCAGTATCTCTCTTCTCATTAACTGTATTTGTTAATGATACTATACGTTGTCGTTTGGATGGACGTAAATCGATATCATCATCAATACAAAGATCAGTGACTTTTTTTTCAATATCAAAGCGTTCATTAATGTTCATCGTACATTCATTTTGTTGATATGAAATCGATTGTTCAATAATAGATACTTGCTGTTGTATTTCACAATAACGTCGTTTAGATATACGTGGTGTTATATCTGTAAATAATTTACATTGTTGAACGTTATAATCTGAAGTAAGAATATAATTTTCTTCTGATTTCTTCTCCCATTGTTCGTAACAATCAATTAACCATTCAGGTGTAACAACTTTAATATTATTTTGTCGAGCTTGATAAACTTTATAGGTTTGTTTTCCAGCAATAACATGTGTTGTTTGAATGATACCATTATGATCGAATTGTAAATCATGAGTGACTGTCGCTCCCATAGCTTCAGCTATAACTGTTCCACAATATTTGTCCAACGGATAATCTTGTGACATCATATGAGAGAAACATAATGAAACAGATTTGAGTATTTGTTGACGAATATTCGGCATAATTTGTTTTAAATCTGGTATAATGTCTGATTTATTTTGAATTGATTGATCATAACTTTTATAGAATATCATATGAATATGTTTTAAAATAATTTCTAATCTATATAAGTAAAGATCATCATCATTCGCTACTCCAGTATTCTTTACAGACAAAGTTTCCATTTGTGAAAGTTCCGTTAATTCATTCTTTTCAGTATAGAATTGATGATTTCTATCGTTCCATTTATTTATTGATGAAAGATAAGTATCATTGATATCACCAACATCTTTAAACCATGTATATGGTTTGACTTGAATCAAATTGGAAGCATATTTCCATACATCTTCACGATCATCAATAATACATACTAAAGAATCACCACAATGAAAAAGTTTATTCAAATTAGCTGATTTATCTGTTAAACTGACACATTCATCACGAGATAAGATTCTATCAGCAAAAAATTTCCCATCAGGATCGATTAATTTAGCTATGGCATTCGCATACGGACGATCACCAAACGTAACTATATGAAATTGATAGAATGATTGAAGATTAGTAAGAAATTCTTTAACACCTGGACGTAATTTTGTATATAATATTTGTGATATTGGAATATTCAATTGAAAAGCAACAACATCCGGTGAAGATGGATAATGATTTACACAGTTTGTTGTATGAACAAGTGTTTGATCTAGATCAACCAGTAAATGAAGTTTACGTTTGCGAAGTAAATAATTACGCTCTTCTCTATCGTATTTTGCGGCAATTTCAGCAGTAAATTTTATTGCTGAAAATGAAGGTTCTATCGGTACAACATGATTTACATGTTTTGATGTTAACAATGTATTCTTTATTTGACTTAAGTCAATACCACAATCACCACATAAATTCTTAAAAATAATACTGTGACGACATGCTTCGTACTCAAAAATGATTGAACTATATGACAAAACATCCATTTCATGAATATATAATTTAGTAATTATGCCCGATATAGGTGATGGAAATGATTGTCGTTGTCCATTCATATCGATCATTATGAAAATAATGTCATTTTTCGTCACATACATATCGGTATGAATCATAACTTTATACACTTGTACGAACTTATGTAAATGAAACTTTACTTCACTTACGTTGTTTTCATACGAACTTGCGCAAGTACTATTATGACTCATGGGAAATTTTTTTATTCTTCCTTTGATGCAAGTAAAAGTAATGAAAATCTTACTCAATGCTACATGGTGCTTCTGATGCTTTTCGTTCTTACACATCTCTCTTACTTTTACTTTGCATTTAACATGCAATTCCTCAGGACAAAGCGAATATCGAGCATTATACGACAAGCAGAAAAGGTGAAAGATTTGTTTTGATAAAATGTATGTGTTGCGATGTTGAAAAAAAAGATATATATATTAATATGCTAGAGCATTCTGTTTTAAAGTTTTGAAAGAAGCAAAAATGGTGGCGACATTGAAGAATAAGAATGAATGTTTATTTAGATGAAATCATAAAAAAATCAGTATGATAGTTACCAGTTAGTTAACTCGACATATTTGAATGTGAATATTTTCCACGATTTGATTCACCATAATCGTTGCGTTTTGTATCATATCTACTTTGTATGCGAGAACTTTCATTTTGAGGATGGGAATATTTTGCTCGATGATATTCACTATGATCATGACATTTATCTTCATATTTGCATGATGTAAGGGAGCTGTTAGTTTGAGGTTGTCTATGTGAAAGAAATAATAGAAAAAAATTAAAACGCATTATTTATATCTTTAAATATGATATTATATAGTAGACAATGCTTCGAACATATTCTTTCTAGAAACAAAAATGAATGAATTATCTCGCCTCTTCTGAAATTTTAGTTTAAACTCTATGCATGTAAATACATATTTTTTGTTCGTTCTTTCATTTATTTTTCTAAACAAAAAATTTTCTCTCAAAGATAGTTGAACTTATATTTTTCAATAATGGTGTGGGTTCGCATCGTCTTTAACTGACACCCGCACCCACCCCCATTATAATGCAAAGAGAAAAGTCATAAAAATTAGTTAGTTTTAAAAATGATGACATAGACAATCAACTCTAACCAAATATAAGAGCATGACGAATGCCATTGTTATAATTGTAGCTCCGTAGTTTCTTGAGCTATAATTTCCAGAATCTCCAAACATGAGCATAATTCCTTCCTTTTCAAATTGATCAATTATTGAACAATCCCTATCTGATAAAAAAGGTAAAAAGTCATGATGAGGTGTGATCTTAAAATATTTTGGCGATGATGGATGATAACTTGGCCATTGCTTCAATGGTTCTCCTGTTGCAGCCATATTGATCCAATGTGAAATTATTTGATTAGAAAATGTCTTTGTGTCATTATCCCATGTGCAGTTATGTAAATTTGTCGAATACATATCACTCATAGTCCCAAATACATATGGAAGTTCTGCTGTATGAATACAAAGACCGCCCATTTCTTCGATTGACTTTGGAGGACATATTCCAGGATTACAATCCATATGATACCAAAATAATTTTTGTTGATTGTTTTTTTCATACAAACTATTGTATATACGACGAGCACTACAATCAAGTACAAGATCTGTTAGAAGTAAACGAATCATATCACAGCAACGATTTGTAGAGTTTCTGTCTGCTGAACAGGTATTCATTTGAGTAGCATCAAAAAGTAAATCTGCCCATTTTTGTCCTATACCTGGAATGACAAGTGCTTTAGCTGAAGAAGAATTCATATCAGGAGTGGAAAAACACATTGGCGATTCATATTCATTTCGACCAATGATCATATTGATGTTTTGATTATATGTTCCTTTTTTAATTGCTAATGGTGGGTAAAATGGTAGAAAATATCCCTCAACAATTACTTTTGTTTGACGAGCACCATACGCTGTAAGTAAATCGGAAATCGAGGAATTACGTAAACATGATAACACAGTTTGACTTTTATCATTTGTACAATTCATTCGTTGAACAATCTTGTTTGATTCTATGATAGCATCGCTAGTATTCGAATAATAGGAATGAAATCCACCTCCACCTGATTGTGATATAACATGTTGATAGAGATTCGATGATCCTTTTAATGCACCAATATCAATAACAGCATTGGCTCCAGCACTTTCTCCAAATAGTAAGATATTGTTAGGATTACCACCATAATCACGAATATTGATGTTGATCCAACGTAATGCTGATAGCATGTCTAGATAATAATAATTGCCAGCTGTTGGCCATGTTGTTGGATTTTCTTGAATTAATTCAGTCAAGTACATATCAGCTAAGACACCTAATCTATAGTTAATAGTTACGATAATAGCTGATTGTTGTGGAGGTGAATTAGCAATTATATTTGTACCATTATATAAAACAGGAATACTTTGTGATGTACAGCCAACTTGAAGGCCACCTCCATGAATCCAAACAAGAACCGGTAATAAAGATCGATTTGTTGTATTCAATGGTGTATAAATATTGAGATATAAACATTCTTCATTTTGCATAGGTATAACAACTCCAGCCTCTGATTGAGGACAACATGGACCAAATGATTTTGCTTGAAATGAACCATGCGGAAATGATTCAGATGCAAGATCAACTGGCGGTTTCCATCGATCTGCTGTAGCATATTGGATTCTAGAAAAATTTGTATTACAAGTAAGATTCAAAGTATTTATCTTATATGTTTTAGAGAAAGTCTAATTTTATATTCAATGCAGAAACGTTTTTCAATATTATTATCATCGAAGTCAATTACAAGACAAAATTGAATAGTAATGAAGTATAAAATCAGTCGAGATATAAAAAAAATGCAAACTGATATTGTGCAAGTATTTAGTTTCACACGTAAGGATGTAACAACATTAAATATTTTGGGATTTGGTGCTCTACTTACTACTGTTTGATTATATTGCATATACTTGCTAATTCAGTATTACCTGAGAAGTGTGTAAGAAAAGAAAAATTCAAATTTTTTGGATTGAATTGGATGTTGGTATATCCCTACTCGCTTTTAACACAATGTTTCGAAATTATTTAATTTTTTCTTACCCTAAATACTCATTTGAATATTGAGTTAGTTGGCCATATATAATTCCTTGTCGTGTTTGAAGTCCAATATCTGCATCAGCAGCGGTAGTAGTAGTAATAGTAATAGTCGATAATAAACTAAAGCACAACAACAACGAGAACCTCATTACATGTAGATTTTGATATGTCATCTGAAATAGTCTATGTATATATAGGAACTATTCAAAAATAAAGGCTTCACTTATCGTAGTATTTTTCATGTTGCATATTAAAATGTATGTTTGATACAACAACTTTAAAACTGATTAGAGCGAAACAAAATTATCTAGTTCAGCGCGTATTTCATGATATCCTTTGCATATTTAACGTTACAAATGAATTGATGTAAAGTTTTTCTTTTTTTGTGTTATCGTTACCTTTTGAGAGTATACAATATACACACATTCATGCATTTTATTTTTTGCTCTTTATCTGAGAATATTTGCACATGCAACAGAAAAAAGTGAATAATTGAGTATGACGTTTTATCTGCAACCTTTTTCTTATGTCGTTTTTCTTCGCATTATGTTGTAATATCGGTGTCACTTCCTAATCTCTTTTCTCTTTCTTAATAATGACGATGGGAATGAGTTGATAAGAAACAAACAACTAGGTTGGATGAAAGGCAGTTACTATGACTCAGAAGTTTCTGCGTTTTCTAAATATGGCCTCATAAATTGTGTTGATTTTTCTTGAAAAGTATTGAAGGAATCTTTGGAAGGCAAAACAGATGAGGTGATATTTCTGGACACAACGTTTGATCTTTGTTAGCCTGTTCGAAAGTATTCCAGACGAGTGAGGAACTATTGTTTATGACCAGTATTTTTATGTTCCTTTCAAATATGGGCTCAGAAACTATGTGTTTATGTTTTTTCGAGAGCCGTGAAGAAATCTTGAGGGTATGGATAAGATTACAGATCATTCAAACCCACACTCTCAAAATAATAAAGACTCTTATTTGACAATATGATATTTATATAAACAAAATAGATTTTAATGTCATCGATTGGTCATTCTCCAGCGTTAAATACATATATTGATGTATTTTAGGATATTACACAAGACAACTGAAATAATTTTATCGTCGCTAGAAGAATCACTGTGATAAAAGCATTTTTCACAAATCATATAATTTTATCAAACACAAAATCTTCTTCGCGAATCGTTTCTATTTAATTTAATTCCAAGTACAATATCTTTTCTTTTCTTTTCTTACGCAAAATTCAACAAAAGATGAAGAATTAAACGTTTATTTGTTAAAGCTTTCTAATCAAAATTATGAAATTAAATTCAATTTTCAAAAAAAAAGTTCCGAAAAACTTTACTTCAATTCTTTTATTCAAAACTTCATTCACAAAACTATTTCAAATTTTTGAATTCGATGATTCCAATATTCAGCAACGTAAAGATTGCCTTCATCATCAAAAGATAAACCAGTGGGACAATTCATTTGATTTGATTGATCTCCTTCACCATTTCCACCAACAACAGTTTCACCTTTTTCTTTTCCTTCACGCCAACGCATTACTCGTTGATTATTACAATCTGCCACATAAATTTCACCCAAATAATCAACAACTACTCCATGAGGTTCAGATAATTGATTGAGATTTTCTCCTCTACCATTTCCTCCAGCGACAATCGTTCCTTCTTTTGCATCTTTTCTCCATTTCATTACACGATCATTGTGGCTGTCGGATACATAAATAGATTGATCTTCGTCAACAAAGATAAACATAGGACAGCTGAGTTGATTGAGTTTATCTCCTTGTCTATTTCCACCTGCCACTACAATTCCTTCGTTGTCGTATTCTCCCATTTTCCATCGTCTCACTTCATTCTTTTCACAATCAGAAACATAAAGAAATCCATGTTTATCTATTGCCAAACCATAACAGTTAATATTGTTAATGAGAATTTGTTGATTTTGATTCAACCATTGGATCACGCGTTTGTTCCCTTTATCAGCAATGATAATTGAATGATTTTGTTGATCAACAATCAGATCTGTTGGCCAATACAATTGATCCGTTCGATTTCCTTGCCCATTTCTACCTGCAATGACTAGTCCTTCTTTTGCGTTATATTTCCATTCAACAATACGATCATTCCAACGATCAGCAATGAAAATATTTTTGTTTTTATCGATAAGGATTCCTTCAGGGCAACTGAGTTGATTTAATTGATGTCCTCGTCCATCTTTACCAGCTACAGTAATGGCATTTTGTTTCCATTTGTTGAATTTTGAGACTAGAAAATAATGAAAACAAATGATTTTGATAAAAAGAAGGAGAAAAAGAAAAGATTAATTTTGAACGAAATGTTCATAAACATGTTTAATGGAAAATTGAATTTGATTTGATTTTTTGTTTCATTTTGAAAAGAATTTGTTGACAAAACAACATAAATTATTTGAAAAGAAAATGAAGGAAAATAAAAATGACAAAAAAATTTTGTTGATTTGTTTTTTGTTAAATAAACATTTGAAGAAAAAAAGAAATTTTAGAATATTTGCCAATAAAAGAACTGATTTGAATTGAACAACTTGTGTAAAATAAAACAAATTAATAAAGATTTGAAATATTTTAATTAGAAATAAATTTTATCTTTTAGTTTTTCTTATTAAATCAACATTAAAATAAGAGAAATGAGATGATTTCTGAAATAAAATATTTTGAGATTTTGGTTGATTCTTCTAATATATTCACACTTTAAGATTCCCAAAAATAAAACACAATTATTCTGTTACAGAAATGATACTTTCTGGTACTAATTACTTTTGTTTTGGGAGTTTTACTTCTGCATGCTGGGTACTATGATTCTGTTTTAAAAATAGCTTTTCACATTCCGTAATAGATTTGTTCTGTATTTAATTATTAATTCTTTTTGGACGACTACATAATTTCAAATAACGTTAGGTAAAATAAGGATGTGTAAGTGAGCTACAAATTCAGAATTTAGGTGTGGAGCTCATTTTTTCAGATCCAAGAAATATGTCAATTCTCATTTTTTCTTTTATAACAAAACTCTACCATTCATTGTTGTTTTTGATGTCGACATAGTAAGCATAGTTGTTTCTAGTGCCGACGTTATGATCATTGTTGTTTCTGTTGTCGATGTTGTAACCGTTGCTGTTTTTGTTGTCGACGCTGTAAACATTGTTTCAGAAGTTGTAATCATTGTTATTTCTGTTGTTGATGTTGTTATCATTGTTGTTTTTGTTGTCGCGGTTGTAAGCATTGTTGTCTTTATTATCGACGTTGTAACTATTGCGTTTTTTTTTGTCAACGTTGTAACCATTGTTGTTGTTGCTGTTGTCGTTGTCGACGTAGTAAGCGTTGTTGTTGTCGTTGTCGACGTAGTAAGCGTTGTTGTTGTCGTTGTCGACGTAGTAAGCGTTGTTGTTGTCGTTGTCGACGTAGTAAGCATTGTTGTTGATATTGTCGACGTTGTAACCATTGCGGTTTTTGTTGTCGATGCATCAGTTGTAGCTATAGTTGTATTAATTGTTGTTTCGGCCTTTTTGATGAAAACTACCCATATTATAATACTAATGATAGTTATTACACTAACAGCGACAATGTTAGTAAAAATCAAGATTGCTTTCCGATGAAATAAAGATCTAAAATGAGATTGATATATTTCGAATAAATAAATCAAGTACTTACGGTCTTCTTTGTGGACGAGTAGATTGTTTAATACTGTGAATATTCTCTGATTCAGACTAAATATTTAAAAAAAATACAGATTGAATTACCTGTTCTCTTGATCTTTCTGAAATAGTTATTCCATTTCGTAAGTTTTCCTTGCACACTCATGCACATAAGACATTTACCTTTCTGACTAAAACTCATATAAAACAGAACCAGAAGCGCTAGTTTAGCATTACGATAATGTAGTGCTAATACTAAACCAGCACCTCTAAACACAATACCACTTACTTTGCATTCTGGTGATGTATCATATGGAGTCGTTCGTTTTGTAGCCAACTCTATATCTTCTTCTTCGTTTCTGTTAATAAGAGGTCTTTTGGATTCCATGTTTTGGTAATTAGTTTTAAGTGACTTTCCAAGCATTGGTTGTAGTGATGCTGATTGTGGATCTGAAAAGGTGAAATCAATTAAGAAAGAATTGTTCATTTATTTCGCCTAAAAAATGGTAATTATTTTATAGAACACATCACAGAGATCACATCCATTTGCCTAAAGAATTCTTTCGACCTAAGTCACAAATATGAATATGCTTTTAAAATACTTCATTTTGTACACTCAGAATTACGAGTACCACTAACTGTAACTGTAAGTGCACTTAGAATTGGAAATTCATTAGGGGCACACCATTTCATGCGCAAAGAAGTTTTAGATAAGTAAGTTTTTAATTAGAAATATTTTTTCTTCGAAAACTGGGTGTGGGTGTGGTTGTTGTGAATACGCGTAATCATGTTCATACACACCCAACCTTAAACACAAACGTTTATTATCTCAATTGCTAGACCTTCGGAGGATAGTGACACTTAATTGCGTTTTGACTGATTTATCAAACTATGAAAAGAACTTTGATTTAGCAAAGATCTCAAAGTCTATAGAATATTTTATAAACAACTTCTTTGGAGGATAATTGACAGTCATGATCCCCAAAAAATCAAAAAATAAAATTTACATGGTTCTTTAAAACATGGTTCAAATATTATTCTTCTTTTTTTACAGATCTTCAATATTATAAAACTTCTTCTCTGACTTTTATGAAATAATGTCCATACCTTTGACTGTGTGTTAGTACGTCGTCTTTGTTTTGAAAAAGAATGAAAAGCTAAGCTGTAACCATCTTCTTATATACAGTCCTTCTTTTTCTTTTTCTTTTAACTCCGAAATTGGTATACCTGGGTTTTTTCCTCACGTTAGGATAGGTATCCATTACATTTCATTTATAACAAAAAAGAGGAAGAAGAAGACCTTTTACAAATAGCTTTGATGGATTACAAAAACGTAATTTAAAAAATTATCTTTTAACATGTAATATGATATTGATCATGAAATAAGAAAAAACAAAACACAATTTACCTTTGAAAATTACAAAAACTCAACAAGAATTCATTGGAAGCTATCGTTATTCTAGATAAATTTAACATACATATAACACTTGTTACATGATGCATAGTCAATTCTAATATATTTTAATTGTACTATACAACGAAAAATAATAAGAAACTGGAGAAAAATGATCCCTAGCACTCTCCGTGTTGATGTGTTGATTCATTAATATGTTTCTTATTATAATCACATATGAAACAATGTGCACTACAATTTATGTTATTCTCAAATTATTCTATCTTGCACTAATTCATGCACATTAATTAGTAGATCAATATGCATATTAAAGTAGAAAAACAAATCCTATTGGAATGAGTGAAAATTTATTTATAATACGATGACATGTATTACTGTTAAAAACTTTTAGATTAACATAAATCATCGCGAAATTTGAGGATGTATGCAAAGGTATTGCTACCGTGACTAGTTTGGACCTTGCTAAAAGGCCGTCTTCAGGTGGCATACGCTTCTACATAGATCTAATAGATTGTTGTTGGTGCTCATTGTTAAACAAAATAAAAATATCTAATCTCAAAAAATACGTTTAATAATAAGACCTATATCAAGTTAAGTGATATTTGATTCGTTAGTAAAATAATATTGTTTTAGGACAGTATATCGATGAGTATTTTATCTTCAGCAATAAAAAATGGCATAGTTATACTTTGAAGTTAATGTACCGTCTGATGAGTATAAGCACATCTAAGTAAAGATCTTATGAAGTACTAGTAGTGATGGTGTGAATCAATCAAAGATAGATTAACCATGTTTCTTAATGAAGAGATAAGTTCAATCTGCTATTCCTAACTCTTGCTTTTTAGTAACGAATGCAGTCGAACGTATTTTGAAAAATCAATGAAATCAATACAGAGTTAATTTTGTTGATGCATTTCGTGTTATTTATTTAATTTTTCAATGCTCTTCAAGGCTCTGTATTACAGTTTTATGCAAAAAAAAGAAAAGCGATACCCACACCCTCAATGTTTCCTAGTTAGTTAAGAGTCGACAGGTTTGACTGTTGGTGTATCTAATCATGTACAGACTCATAATTTAAGCAAAACTGTTTGAATAGATATTAAGTTATTCAATGTAAATATTGTGTACCACTGAAGCCTATCGAAACAGCATAACAGTCAGGAGAGATGGATCAAATTGCAATACTTTATGTTTTCCGAAGAAGAATGAAGAGCAGGGTTCAACTTTTTCTTATAGAAATGCATCGGATACAGTTTTAACAAACTTCTGACAATTCTGAGAAAGATATAATTTTAATTTTTTTTATTGAAAAAGTTAAGCGAAATATTATTTGAATTTTTTGGCAACTGAACTCGAATGGATTGTCGTTGGATTTAGGATGGTTGACGCCGTGAGAACATGGTTGAGCTTTGACCATGTCTGGAGGCAATGCTGATCTTGCTGGACGGAAGAGAAGACTAATACCATCGCTGTGTGCTCTTTCTTCGATGATAAGAAAAGATTCTAGTACAATATGCTTTTCGGACGTACAACCGTTTGTATCACATAAATGCGAACCTAGAAGTACCAGAGATGAATAAGTGATACGAAAGATTATTATTTTACCTATCTTTCCGCACCGTTGAGTTATCAACCATAGAAGATCACGCTCCTTGACTCGTATGACAATCTACTGCTTGAATCGTTTAAAAATGCCCTTATTGACTTTATTGCATACGGTGTTAATATGATTTTGAACGTTTGGCCATGTGTGAGTATTGACATACACAATTGATCATGACGTCGTAACTGGTGGTGGAAGAAAGTGTTGTGTTGGAATTAAACAAGGTATTCAATCGATAAAATAAGCACCTAGAAAATACATAGTTCTTACTCAAGCAGAGAGATCAGCAAAACTTACTGTCAGGATCATTGCAACCGATCATTTGTTTAATCTGATCAGCAGTAATTGATGGAAAAAGATGTTCTGGATTAATGTACCATCTATAGTAGATCTTTGTCGCCAGTACTTTTGCGAATGCCAATGCTTCAGTTGTTGACAATATACCCAGCAATGTTAAGCTTGGAGATTGTTTGTGGTTAATATGATCTTCGTCCAGCTCTGACGCTAGTAATTTGATCGTTACTATCTTCTTCATCTGTATACGGGTTCTTAGTAACCGTTCCTAGAAATATATCAGGATTTGATGATTTTTTTGCGCTTACCTGTAATGATTGTATGTCGCATCCCATCAGTTTACTGATTTCTTTTTTTTTCTTTGCACGTTGGATAGAGTTTTTTTTCTAGCACTTGTTGAAGATAAATAAGACCTGTTTTTAGTAAGCTTTCGCGTCGTTTTAGTGTACAGATTCACTGACGATGCCATTTTTGAATAGGTTTCAGATAGAACGATGATAGAAAAGAATAAACGAGAAGAAGAAAAAAGAAGATAATTATTGACAAACAAGAAAATATGAAGTATGTGATTTTAATTATCGTTAGAGTAACTTATGCATGATGAATGTTCTGATGTCTGAGTCGTTGTTATATATATATCAACAACATAAGAGGTTGTTCTGATTGATGATTGTCATCTCATTCGTATCTTTAATATCAAGTATCTAGTTGGGAATCAACAATTCAGTGATTGGTCTAAAAATTAGATAAAGATATAAACTCTTGAGGGTGTGGGCGCTAGAGTAAAGTTAAAGTAACACCCATCCTCAAGATTTCCAAGGATACATTTGATTAAAAATTTTGAATGAGAAGAAAACAATAGATCAACATATGCATGAATACTTCGATTTTCTTTTTATTTATTCGAATAAAATTAAAAATAAATATCATGATGCATTCTACGTGGCAGCTGTCTTAATAAAAATTAAAATCAACTATATCGTCATGATAATGTTTCATTAATGGATATTTCAAAATTTTATTATATCTTTGTGTCACTCAAAAAACAAATCGAGTTAAAGATATAGTGAATTTGTAGATATAGAAGAAAAATAGTAATTAGAAAAAGATGTGGACGATATAAAGTGAAAATTCATACTTTCACCTTCAATTTATGTCTTTTATTATCCATCAGTAAAATTGTAAGATAAAGAAAAAATGACGAGGTATATGTATATTACCATAAAAGCTTTTCAGTTATCTACTATATTTTAATCTTATTTTCAAGGGTATAGAATGTATATGAAATGAGTAAATAAAATATGAGTTTAAAAAAAAATTTTAATATTATTATAAGTAATGCGTAGAAGACTGCGGTAATAGAGTATGAAGATTGAATGAAAATATTATGAGAATAAAAGTGCTTTCTAAAAATGTTGATGGGTAATAGAAACTTTTCTTTTTATTTATATCCTTTTAAAATATATTAAAGTATCTAAAATAAAATGCATTATTATGGTAATAAAATATTTTTTTTCTCGTTGAATGAGAATTGCTCAAAGTATAGTAAACACATTTAAATATTCACAACTTGGAAGTAGTACAAAAGAGAATTTTCAGTACTCACTAAACGTTGATAGAATGTTCCTAAGATTAACTCTTAGTCTAATTGTTCTTTTCACATCCACGACAGCAATATCTATGGATGTATACCAAAATGCTCAATTCCAACCAATAACTCTTGGATCTCTTTTGATTGAATTAGATTTCATAACCGTACAGGATGAATGTGTTTGTCAATGCTATACTTATTCTTGTGTTACGGGTATTTTCTTTGGAAATAATCAAACTTGCGTTCTCTACAGTGCATATCTTTGGGAAGGACAATTGCAATTGACAACTGACAATCTAACCAGTGTTTTTACTTTTCCCGATAGTAATACAAATAACAGTAAGTAAACAAGATATTTTCTATGAATTAAAACAAAAAGTCTAATAAATTTTTAATTAGATTCAAATAATCTACCACAAATTATTGAATGGTTATTTGATGGAGATTTTAACGATGTTTATAATCGGTACAATGGTAATCCTGTTGCTAACAATGCTATTACATGGATATCACCTGGATATGCTGGATACGGTAGTGCTGTTTATTTTCAATCAACCAATTATTCTCTCGTCAATCATTATCTAAACTTAACTGCCACTAGCTTCACAATTTCTGCATGGATCTATATGCCATTTATTAACACAGCACCAACTTGGAGTTATTTTTATTTGCTTAGTCATTGTCAGACTGTTGTTCAAGATAAATGTTTACATGTAGCAGTGTCAAAGGGTAAACTACTATTAGGTTTTTGTACAGATGATTTAGTTGGCAGTACAACAATAAATACAAATCAATGGTATCATGTGGCATATACATATAATCGGTCGACATCTGAGCAAATGGTATATTTGAATGGATATCTGGATGGAAGTCGAGTATCTACAGGTCCATACATAGGAAATCCAAGTGTGATGATTATTGGTCCTCTACCATATATGTCATGGGTGACAGATAACAATGGTTATATTGACAAAATAATATTTGTTCCACGTATCAAGAGTACTGACGCACTTCTTACCGAAGCCACTCTTGTTGCTTATTATCCATTCGACAATACATATCTTGATGCGGGTCCTAATCAGATCAATAATCTTACTACTATCAATACAATTTTCAACTCTAATGGTCGATTCAATCAGGCATTAGTGATCAACTCAACAAATTCATCTTATTTGCAAACAACAGGTTTTTATTATCTTGGAAAATCAAACTATACATACTCATTTTCAATATGGATTTGTCCATTCACAAATAATGGCACTATCCTTCAGGTAATGTCTATTTCAAAAGAGAATATTCTAATCTATTCATTGGTCATTTAGGTGAGTTCACCGAGTGGTTGGTGTGTACCAATGATTGGTTTTGATACTATGGGATATTTAACAATTCAAACATTAGGTGAAAGTGGCTTCTATTCCACTTCCTTCAATAACAAAACGTTACCATTAAATGTTTGGAGTCATATCAGTATGACGTATTCTATTTCAAATGGTATTCGACTATTCGTCAATGGATCATTGGTGAATAAGAATAATTTAGTATTTGACTATTTAGCAAGTGATGAAATGACTACAATAACAATAGGAACTTGTCTTCAGCCGAATCAGTGCGGTATTAATGCAACAACGATTGTTTTATCTCAATTTCAAGGCCAAATTGATGAGCTGAAAATCTTTGCCCGAGAGCTGACAAACTATGAAATTCATGCATTGGCATCTGAATAAAACTGTGAAGTGAAGTGAAATGACATGAACTATTTTCATTATATACCATTTCTAGAGAATACAATGCTTTTGATGTCGTATCTAACAGAAAAACCAACACAATCATCACATATTCATATTTTCGAAATATACATTCTACTGTAAGATTTTATTCAAACATCAATGATTACTCTTACAGAACAGAAATGAAAGCTTAGAATTTCAAATATCTGAATCGAATTTTTATAAATTCAAACATTGCTCTATATCTTTTATTCCATTCGTTTATGATATAAATATTGTAGTCATACAAACAGCTGATTGTAACGTTTTCTCTCATGACTATTCTTGATAAAATCTATAAATTATTTCTGAAATACATGTATTACCAACTACAACTAAATCTTGAATAAAAATAAAAATTTATTTTTGAAAACATAGATACGATTAGAATCAAGATGGTGTGTTCAAGGAGGTATATTAATCTTACTGTTTTCTGTTGCATTTTTCCGAAGACAATAAAAAAAGAAAGTTTTTCAAAAAGTTATGTTGAGAAGGAGAGAATAGTCATTTAAGTTCGGTATGTATTATTTTAAATATTATGTGAGCTCATTTTTGAATCGAAATGTTTACCTACCAATATTTTTTTATGATGACTCAACTTGAAAGAACGTCAAAAAGTATAAGCAACAAATATATTTCAATGAAGGTAAAAGATAAGGACGAAGAAAGTTGAAAGAAAAGATACACGATCTTTTAACAAAGATAAATAATAACGACACACTACTGTAAGTAAACGTAACAAGAATCAAATTCATCTAGGATTAATGCTTTTTATTAAGTACACGTTTCAAATCGAGATTACGTATGAGGAAGAACATACTGAATAGAGCCATAACTGAATTTGTCCAGCAGTAGATGTACATTTCCAATGGAGACTTTCCATTATAGTCTTATGCTTAATACAGACTCAAAAACTTGCATCATTCTTTTGTCAGTACTTTCAAGTTATTCCTCGTATGACATTTTTACTCAAAAAGTACTATGTAAAATATATCCACCAAGAAAAATCAGCTTCAATATTGTTTATCGATTTATTCTTCTGAGCAGAAATATGATATTCTTTTGCTTGTTTCAAATGCTATTAAATGTTGTTTGAACTATATTTTGGATAATTAATCTTTAAAGTAAATGCTACCTCTGAGGAAATAGAATATAACCAATCCTGAGATAAATCTAAAAACTTGATTTATTCTGACAACCAAAACTTTGTAGAACTTAGGCATTCAAACTGAGTAGTTCTATGCCTTGCCGTTCAAGGACCTGCATTAAACCAATCCATATTAACTCTCCGTAAAGTGCTCCACACCTTGCCTACTAATTCTTATCATATATTCTTATTCTAGATGTCGAATTCGCACAAGTTCAAACAATCTATTGCTTACTGGTGTCTCGCTGATACCGAATGGGAATGGAATACAGAACAAATCTGTCAACTTGCTCTCAATCTGGATATTGAAAGTATCGAACTCGCACCGCCAGAGACTTATCCTATTTTAAAGAAATACAATTTGAAATGTGCATTTTGTTGTAACGGAATGCCCGGAGCACCTTTTATGAAAGGCCTCAATAATCTGAAGAATCACGAAGAAGTCATTGCTCGAACCAAACAATCTATTGACCTAGCCGCTGAATACGGCTTTCCGAATGTAATCGCCTTCATCGGATACAAGTGGCTCAACCCCGAAGATCCTTCTAGTGGTGAAGTATCGATTGACGAATGCTTTGAGAATTGTGTGAAAGGTCTTCTCGATCTTTCTACGTATGCCGCCGAGAAAAATGTCACTATTTGCCTTGAACATCTCAACACACGTGTTGAATCGCATCCGATGAAGGGTCATCCTGGTTATCAAGGCGACAACATTGATTTTTGCGCCGACATTGTTCGTAAAGTAAATTCACCGAGCGTTCGTCTTCTGTTTGATGTTTATCATGTGCACGTCATGCATGGTGACGTCATCAAATATCTTCGAGCTCATCATGATGTCATTGGTCATATTCATACTGCAGGCTATCCAGGTCGAAATGAATTAGATGACAAACAGGAAATTGACTATCCTGCCATTGTAAACGCTATTCAAGAAATTGGCTACGCAGGATACATTGGTCATGAATTCATTCCGACTCGTGAGCCCATGGATGGCTTGTCTACAGCAGTGAGCATGTTCAACGCTTAATTAGCCACGTCAAAGATCGAATTATTTTGACTACTATCCATTTTCAAGTTTAACATTCATAGCCAATAAATATACCTATACTATCATCGTAGATGATACCCATAGTCGTAATACTAAAAATAAGTACAGATTTTGTAAACAATCTGATCAGATCGTAAACGTAAGTGTTTAGGAAAAGCAGAAAATGACCATTAGAATATCTTCTTAAAGCATAACAATACGAATTATGTGTTTACAAAAATATTCTTGAAAGAGAAAATATTTATCTTCAATGACTTTATTGATTGTTTCTAACGAATATTGTTTGTACTGTGTCAAATAATCTTAGTTTATTTAAATTATAAACTCCTTAGTAATAATTAGGTTTTAATTATTGAATTTCGCTGAGTAAGTTAATAAAAAATGTGTTATTAAAGAAGTTACCAAACGAAACGTAAACTTACAGTACTTTAGTCTTATGTGGTGTATATCATGACAAAGATAACAGTGCATGCATCTTTTCTTATATTTATGACAACGGTGTTTGCATTTAATTTCGTGTTAGATATATAAAAGGCAAGTATAAAATAACATCAAATGGTGATATCGCATTTTTTTATTCTAGATTGAAACTTCTTTTGAAACAAAACATGACGGAATACGAGATGTTTTCTAAAGATGAAGTTGCAAATAATACGCAGCCTAAACCTAGACAATTGAATCGTCGTCGAATTTTGATCATCTGTATTTGTATTATCAGTTTGATAATTAGTATAGTTGCTATTACGTTGATAATAAAATTTGCCATTCTTAAACCAAAGCAAAAAGAAACTACCATCACTACGACAATAACAACATCGTTATCAACCACAAAAACAGAGTCATCTTCTACAATGTCGTCATCTTCATCAACAAGAACATCATCATCTACAACGACAACAACAACAATGACCACTACTCAACAATCAAGTAAGCTTTACAATGACATTTCTATCAACTTAAATTTTATTGTTTAATTATATATATATATTTCGAGTATTACAAAACTATTTTTTGTGATTTCTTGACGTATAGTTTCCTGTAACTATTATCTAAAATCTCGTATGTGTTCCATGATATTTTCTCATTAGAGAATCTCTAAGAGCATCTATTTAACGAACTCTCTTTCATAGTTTGATTATATATTTATTTTGAGATTGCAGAGATTTGAATCTTTCTTCTAGGCTGGTCTACTACTGGTAGTATGAATAATGCACGAAGTTACCATGCAACACTTATCTTACCAAATGGAAAAGTGTTAGTCACTGGTGGAAATATTAATCGCACTTACCTGAATAGTGCTGAATTGTATGATCCATCAACAGGAACTTGGACAACTATTGGTAGTATGAATACTGTACGAACTAGGCATACAGCAACAATGTTAACAAATGGAAAAGTCTTAGTTACTGGTGGATTAAGTGATACTAGTGATCACAAGACTGCTGAGTTATATGATCTATCAACAGGAACTTGGACAATTACTGGTAGTATGAATAATTCACGAACTCAACACACAACGTTAATGTTAGGAAATGGTAAAGTGTTAGTTACTGGTGGATTTGGTCAACATGGTTATCTAGATACTGCTGAGTTGTATGATATTTCAACAGGCATTTGGGCAAGTACTGCTAGTATGAATCATGCACGGGAACAGCACGCAGCATTAATGTTATCGAATGGGAAAGTATTAGTTACTGGTGGAAGTGGTAGTAGTGGTCCAATGACTAGTGCTGAATTGTATGATCCAGTAACAGAAACTTGGGTGCTTACTGGTAATATGACGAAGGAGCGACATTTGCACACTACATCTCTGTTAACAAATGGTAAAGTATTAGTTACGTGTGGATATAGTTATAGTGGTTATGTAAAGGAGGTTGAGTTATATGATTCAGCGACAGAGACTTGGTCAATGACTGGTAGTGTGAATAATGCACGATTTTTACATACAACATCTATTTTAACAGATGGGAAAGTGTTAATTACTGGTGGACGGGGCTTTATCGGTATTATGAATAGTACTGAACTATATGATCCATTAACAGAAACTTGGACAATTATTGATAGTATGAATAATGCACGAGAATTGCACACAGCATCAATATTAACAAATGGAAAATTGTTAATCACTGGTGGACGCAATTATGATGATGATTTGAAGAGTACAGAGTTGTACTATCCGTTATAAACAGATTTGTTTTTTCAACATAAGAACATTAGATTTTTTATCCTCATTTAATAATCAGACTTTTTCTTATAATAAGAATGATATCTCTTTCGAAGTTTCTATTATATTGTCATGTCTTATATCAGAGAGAAGACGCTCACATCATTGTATGTTGTACCAAAATTATAACAATGCCTATTGGAACAAATATTTCGACTTTTAAACGTTAAGAAAAGAATTTTGAGCGATAAAAACATTACAAAGATAAAAAGGTGTAGCTGTGGGTGTGAATATGGATACTGTATTCATACAACAACTAAATTATAAAAGCGACTCTTAATTTATTCGAAAACAAAATTTTAAAATGACAAAAAATATTCTTGTATTTATTAAGAGAAAATATCACTCGCAAATATTGGTGAATTGAATATAATAGAAGTATAGGATAAAATCAATTAATGCAAAAAAAGAGATTGATTATTGGATGAAGACAGCATTTGTTGTTCTTTTTTTCTCAATTGCATTGATGATAATTAGTGGAACTTCTAGATTAATATTTGCAAAAATGCCATCAATATCAACTTTAACCGTAAGTTCATAATGCACGGCTACTAGAATATGAGTCGTCGACGAAGTAAGATTAGATGAAAACGTAGCAGGAATGTTGTCAGGCACATTTAATTCGAAAGTTTTATGAAATTTTTCGATTGATGATGATTCAAATTTTTCTAGTTTCGTATCAAATAGTGCGAGACCTTCTGTTTTGATTTGACCAATTTCCCATATTTGAGTAAGAGTTGCTGATATTCCACGTACTGAAGTTTTTTGAGAATTATGCAAAACAACATCAAACGATAATTTATTTCCAGCAGCGACAACAGTTTTTGGAAAATTAACACGAGCTTGAATACCTCGTCGAGATTCACTCTGTTTCTCAAATCTTGTTACATTAGCAGGCCATGATGAATTATTTCGAACAATAATACCAAATTCTTTATAAAAATTTACTTTGTACCATTCAGTTCGAACTATTTTAACGCGAACGAAATAACGAATGGATGGACTTGTTGTTTTAGATTGTTCGATCGAAGGTGATAAACGTTGATCAAGACGACCACTAAACGACCAAGTATAATTTCCAAGTGGTAGAACAAGTTGATTTTCATTGTTAATCGATTTTACAATAAGATCATTTTCGAAAAATAATACTTCATGTTTAGTTTTTTTTGATAGTCCTTTGTTTCCAGTTTTTGATGAAGTCGTATACACAAACATACCGACTAGTGTAATATTAAGACTTCGTAATTTCAATTCTGGATAATTATTATTGATAAATTCGATGGTACCTGATACATTATCACCACTCCAATATTGATTTTCATTTTGATTATCAAATCGACACATTAGAAGCAAGTCTTCTGTTTTGTTACCATTCGAATCTAGAAATTATCAATATTTCTATTAATTAGTCTAGATATTTAACATTTTTTATCATACTTATCGAATTTCTACTAAATACAGCCTTTACAGTTGCATAGAATACACCGATGATAAAAACAATCGCAATAACTATAATCAGTAAATTTCTTTTACGCTTTGTTAGGCATAATTGACTTTCATAAACTATTGGATTGTCATCAACTGTAGGTGGTGGACTTTTATAGTAATTTACATTAGCCATATTTAATGTTGTATTAATCTAAAATCTGTATCGATCTCAATACGTTTGTGAAATAGAAATTAGATCATATAATATTGTTACGATCAATTCTCTTTTCAAGACTAGTTTTAGAATTTTAACGATTCAAACTCGGGATTGATAGATTAATTGATTAGTAGTTTTCCAATTTTCTATAACATGTTGCTTAACAAAGATCAAGTATATCCGCCATATAGAAACTGTAACATTTAGTAATTGTTTCTTTTTCACTTTGCATTATTGCATTCTATGAGATTAATTGACAATATAATGTTATGGCACTAATTAATATTGCAACGTTGTATCTTTTACTTATTTTATTCTTCGATTCGATGTCGTTAGCAAAGTTCGAATTTAGTAGACGATCAATGAAACTTGAAATGAGCGAGAGAAAGTTTTCTAATAGCTAAACGTCATATTTTTACCTTAATTTGAAAACTACTAGATTGAATTGAACTGTCTAACAATTATTTTATCTATATGATAGAAAATAAAACGTTTTTAAAGCAAAAACCAACTTACTAATGAATCAGTATTCATAAATCAATACTACATTTTGTTACTTCGGCTAAAAAAAATATAAAAAATCAATGAAACTTTATATGATCTGTTGATCGGAATTATAGAAGAAGAAAAATGATCATGTAAATCGTGTAGAGAAAGAAAAACAGCTATTAATAGTTGTGGGAAAAAACCGACAATAGCAGGAGAGAAATGATAACGCACAATAGATCTAAGCTGCTCGCGAGATTCAAAAGAAAGAAAAGAGAAAAATAAGTATAGCGAACGAAGGAAAATTATAGAGAACAATCTATAACGGAAACAGAAGAACGCAAGAAAAATAGAACGAAGACATCAAGACATGAATGTAATCAACTGCTTTGAAATTATAACTTTTTTTTCTTTGTTTTATATTATAATGGACATGTTGTGGGTATGCTATATATAATGAAAAACGGATAAACATTGTATTAAGGAAATAAAAAGAGCAAACGCTTTTAAAATAAGTCTTGTCAGTTAAAAATACTTCAGGAAATATTTTCTCTATAGAGATGTATTACTTCCTCTGAAATCACGATATATATAATACATGTAAACTAAATTTCATTATTGATTTAAATCAAAAGCAAAGCATTTCCATTATTTCACACAAACATAATACAACATACAATTTTTCATATCATATATTGAAATTAACATTCTAAATACAATTATTTTTGTTGACTTATTAAAAATTTTAGGTTAAAAATTCAGAGTAAAATCATCTCATCGAATTTGAGAAAATCAATCACGTTTCGTTCATTCTTATAAATATTAAAAATAATATGATTTAAAAACAAATTTCATATTGTATTCATATGACTTTGTGACCAAAGTCTTGCTAGGTGAGACATAGTTCGATATTATTGTTTAAAATAATACAATCTTATTTTATATGACAGTAGTGGCGTCCATTCGGAAATAACGTATTCCTTTTAAATTCATATATCTCGTGTCATCGCTCTTATCCTAATTCTTTTCTTTTTTTTTTGTTTAAACAAACGTTGACCTGTATTTCTCACTTGAAAGAATTTTTTTTTCTAGTTTGTCCTTTTTCACTAAACTTTCCTTTTCTCTTAATAATTGTACTCATTTCAACAATAGTATTATAAGGCGCAGCGGCCAGATGTTACATTTCTCCTATTGTATCAAAGTGAAATAACGATAAAAAGTAGAAGACAGTTTTTTTTCTTCGCAACATATGCATTCTTTTTTTTCTCTCTCTTTTCGGTTAATATTTTTCTTCATCTTCTATTCATTGACGAGTAGAGGAAAGGACATTTGTCATTAATGACCGATAAGAAGAATGTTAAAATGCATATAGATATATTGTATACTTCTCATTAGTAATTAAGATTTTGAAATGAACTTCCAAATGCAACACACATAATTCGCTAACAATGACTAAAGAAATTGGTGAACAAATACGTCATGTACAAGAGGTATTTTCAACTGAAATCAAATCTTCCTACTTAAAATTTTTATTATTTTCTAGATAATTCAGAAATTGAATATTCGACAATCTAATAACAATTCGTAAGTCAATGTAAGATATTGTATATTAAAGTTATTCATTGTTTCGATTTTAGTGAAGTAACAAAAGATTATGGTTATATAAAATTTGGTGAAGATGATATTGATATAGATACTCGTCTTTCTCAATATATTCGATTGGCTCTTCAAACAAATGCAAGAACAATAGTTGAATTTCTAAAATCTGGATGGCGTTTGGCAACACCTGATTTGATTATTTCTGTTACAGGTGGAGGAAAACGATGTCAAATGTCTACACATCTTCGAAGAACATTTCAACGTGGTTTAGTTGTTTCTGCTGCTACGACAAGTAATCTATTCATTTTAATGACTATTTTTCGATAATTATTTTTATGTATTAGATGCATGGTTAATAACAGCTGGAACAAATACAGGTGTAGTTAAATTAGTCGGTGAAGCTCTCAATAATTATCGATATAAAAATCATAAACATGGTCTTAATGTTCCTTGTATTGGAATTGGTAGTTGGAAATATACAGCTGGAAATAAACAACTCGAAAATCTTTCAATAAAATCATCTATGATTAGTGATATTAATGTGAATAAAAAGAGTGTATTGTCAATAGTTAATCGTCGTTTACAAACTGAATCAGTTCAGTCGGTAAGATTAAATGATGATTAATAATTTATTTATATATATATATATATATATCATTAATAGGATGTTGAAAATCCAAATTTCATTCATTCTTATGTAGTTAAACAATCGGAAGCAAAACGATGTGATTTAGAACCGAATCATACACATTTTTTATTATTCGATGGAAAATTATCCAATACTGATGGTCTTCTTTTACAACGAGCTAAAATTGAACAATATTCTCGTCGAATCAATACGAATATATCGACAGAAAATGCATTGATTCCTATTGTTATGATTCTTGTTGAAGGTGGACCATTTTCAGTTCGTACTGTTTGTCATGCACTTCAATCAAATACTCCATTGGTGGTCGTTAAAGTAACTATTAAAATCAACAGATTCTAGTTCTAATCAATTCTTAAATAGGGATCTGGTAGAGCTGCAGATCTTGTAGCTGAATTACATAATTTTTTTTCTGAAATTGAAATAGATGAAACTCAAACTAAATATCAAATAAGTTCTTCTAACAAGATTAGACTTGATTCAATGTAAGTTTTTATTTATTTCAAATAAATTTATTCATGTTCTGTTTTTTTTTGTATAGATTAGAACAAACTCGACTTAATAATAATCCATGGATTGATGAAGTAAAAGATAATCTTTGTCACGTATTATATAAACAAAAACAATTAGTCGTTATATTCGAATTTGATAATCCACGACATGGTGGAAATTTAGAAGATGCTATTCTTGAAGCTCTACTCAATGGTCAGTTAAACTCGATCATTAGAGATATAAATTAATTTTATTTTTAGCAACTAAATTTTCTGGAGATAATTATGATGAACAACAATGTCGAATGGCTGAATTAAAATTAGCTATGGTATATTATTTAACAAAATAATTTTTGTTATTATTTTCTATTTGTTAATAGGCATGGCAAAAACTTGACTATACAAAAAAATATATTCTTACAGATACAAGCATTGCAAAATTACCTGTAAGAATTTATTGTTTTTGTTCTTATAAATATATTTTCGTGAAAGGAACCTGATCTTTGTGAAGCTCTCATTGATGCTCTTCGTCGCGGTTATATTGATTTCATTGAATTACTCATAGATTATGGTGCATCACTCAAAAAATTGACTTTAAATGATCTTGAACAACTATATTCTTATTCTGATGTATGTTTGCATTGAAAAATGATATCGATTAATTGTTTATTGAATAGATTGATAGTGGATTACCTTTAGAAGATGAAAATGAAGGAAAATTGTCTACAAGAAATGATTACTATTCATGTTATTTTCCCGATAATCCTAATGTAATGTATATCTATGAAAAATATTTGTTAGATAATAATATTAATTTCTTGTTTTTAGTTAAGCCGATTAGCATTAGATAAGAGTTTGCCATTAGGACAAAATGCAACACGTGAATTTTTTCTTTGGGCAATTTTTGTTGATCGATTTGACTTGAGTACATATCTTTGTTCAAAGACTTGGGTAAAATTTCATTTGATTAAGAATCTGAATATTTTTTTTGTTGTTATTAGAATCAATTTTTTAGTCCATTAATTGCTGCACAAATCTATCGACAAGCAAGTTCCATGGCACTTCATTCAGCAACAAGAGAACGTTATGAAAATAATGCCGTGTTAGTATTAAAGAATACAGATTAAACATGATATAATATTTTTCGTTTTAGTCAATTCGATAAATATGCAACCGAGATAATTGATCAATGTTTTCTAAGTGATGAAAATTTTGCTGTTAATCTTCTTAAACAATCTGCTATTGCTTTTGATAATATTGATCCACTTCATGTAGCTGAAGAAGCATCATGTCAATCATTTCTTGCATCAGATTGTGTTCAAAGATATCTGGATCATAAATGGTAATGATTGACAGACGTTGAGTGAGGATCTTGATTGATGTGTTTTATATTTAGGTATGGTCATATTAATTATAAACGACGAGCCATTCACTTTAGAGTTAGTTTTCTTTTCTTATTTTAATCCATTTAACGATTTTATTTTGTCTAGATTATGTTTTGTTCATTAGTTTTCCCATTAATTCCTGTATTTTCTATCTTTTTACCTTATGTACGCAAACGCAAACAGGTTAATATTATTTTTCATTGATTCTTTTTATTAATTATCTTTAAAATCAATAGATTATTGAAAGTATAACAGATGATTCAATTGGATGGTTTAAAAAAATGATGTATTTCTATGATGCACCTATTGTTCGCTTTTGCTATAATTTAGTATGCTATTTTTATCATTATTAATTCTCTCATTCTAATTCTTTTATTTAAAAGATATTTTTTATATTGTATCTTGCATTATTCAGTTATGTTATTCTAATTGATTATTTTCCATTGAATATATCGCATCATAAAGTTATTGAACTAAAAAATCTTGAATTACCAATAACAGAAATTATTTTACATATTTGTACATGGAATTTAATTATTGAAGAACTTCGTCAAGTAAGAAATCCATCGAAATAATTTATTTTTTCAAAAACCTAAATTTTAGATTAGTTGTAATGATTTTTCTGGATATATTTATGATATATGGAATTTAATTGATATAACTGCTATTATATTATATTTAATTGCATTTGCTACACGATTTGTAATGAGTGAAACTTTTTTTGTTATTTCAAAGTAAGATTTTGAAAAATAATTTAATAATTCTAATATTAATATTAATCTTAGAATATTTTTATGTCTTGATTTAATTGTTTGGTTTATAAGAATTCTTCATTTATTTTCTGCTTTTGAACGTCTTGGTCCGAAATTAGTGATGATCTTTAATACGGTATGTCCTTTTTCTTGGAAAATATTGAATTTTTTTCTATTTTTGATTAATATAGATGAGAGATCTATTCTTTTTCATTTGCTTTATTCTTGTGTTTTTATGCGGTTTTTCCATCACATCATGGTCATTAATAACTTCTGCTTCTCAAATAAATTGGATTTATGATGATGATGGACAATTATTGAATGTTACAGTGACTGTTGATAGAAAAAGTGCATGGACATGGAAATTATTGAGAGATATTGCTCATTATGGTGTTTGGAAAGTTTTTGGACAAGTCGATCCAATTGGTAAAAAAGATGTGATTTTCACTGAATTAATTTCAAAAGAATTTAATTTTTGATTTCTAGTTGGTACGGATTCATATTCGAATATGGCTTTTGTTTTGGCAATTATATTTGTTGCTATAGCTAATATTCTTCTTCTTAATGTTCTCATCGCTTTATTTAAGTAATAAATTAAATCAATATTTTATTAAAATTTTCTTTGATTTATTTAGTGTTACAATTCAAAATGTTCAAGAACAATCTCATAATTTATGGCGTTATCAACGTTTTTCAATTGTTAATGAATTTAGCAAAAAATCGCCACTGCCACCACCATTTAGTCTTATTTATCATTTCTTTCGTTTTCTAAGATTTCTTATTGTTCATATAAAACTCTGGAAAAATCGATATCAACCGAGTATGTTTTGAATTTCACCGAGAAAATTAATTGAATTGTCAAGTCATTTTCATGTTTGAACTTTGTATCGGGTGGGGCATAAAGAATGGTATCGTTAGTGTTTTGCTAATATCTCTGCCCTTTGAAAACATATAGTTCGATCAAAATATACAACTTTTGTTATTTAAATTCTGTGAAAATATCGTTGAGATTGCGCCTAGGATCTCAATGTTTTACGTTAATGAGTTGTTGACGCTGCTGTGACAAAGAACGAGAAAAAAATAAGATTAGAGCGGCTTCATGTTCAGTTAGGTAGTATCAGTGAAATAATTAATTTCGTCAAGTCATGTGTTAACTTTATTCTAACGTTTTTGTAGAAAAATGACAGAGATATTATCAAAATATTGACGGTATCATGCTTTTTTGCCGCACCAGATAGAACTCAAGGAAATATGAAAAGGTCTCGAAAGATTAATGCCCATAATGATTTCTTTAAGAGTTATGTTCGTTTTATTTAGGATAGATAATTTATTTTCTCTACTTATTTCGCTTCTGCTTTACATATTTTGTTATTTACAAATATTTCAAAAAGAATCTGAAAGATTTTCTTTTAGGGATTAGTCATACCTCATTGAGCTCTATATGATACATAGAATTAGAACTTGAAAATGTTTTGATAGTTTAATTACATAAAATTTTGTATTATAGTTCCAAGTGAAATAACATTAGATAATGTAAAAATCATGAATGATAATATTTCACAAGATTTTAAAAGTAATTCGAAGTATTTCTTTAACAAAAACAAAATTTTTATTCAATTTCTCAATAGTTAATGATATGATGCGTCGTGAAAGTGCAATAGCTGAAGATTATTGGCGTCAAATATTTAAACAAAACAAAAGTGATAGAATAGAAATAGCGCTAGCAAATATCGAACAGAAGTAAAATGATTTATTTCTTTTCTTTTTTTCGAATTTATTACCTTTTTATTATAGAATCGATCGTTTTATTCCATTTAGAAACGAGAATAAACATATTATAGGGGTAAGTTCTCTCTCTTCTCATAGATATATTTATTATTTTATTTAATAATAGGCAAACGATCAATCTAAACTAAAACTCAATGTTGAAAGTGATGTTTAACCATATATATATTCAGTCCAATATTAAACTTCGAGAAACATGTATATTCATTTCACTGTCTAAATGGAACGATGATCTTTATAAGAAAAAAATTCTCATACATTCAGACATATAAGCTTTGTTTTTTTGTCTATTGTAATACTGTGTTGTATCAGTGGTGAAAATTGTTTATAAAAATATTTGAGTATAATCGTATGTACACGCGTTTACTCAAGAATGTAGTGAATTTTGGCATATGATAATAATCCATGCGTATATTGATATTCTGAAACTTTTTGTCACTAATTTATGTGAATTGCATTGAACGGATTTTCTAAATATCTTAACTCGAACGGTATCCAATGCTAATATATCGTCTGTATCTCGAAAATCTTTTGCACGAAATAAAGCAGTTTCATTCTCCATATCTCTTAAAAGTTTAAACTAAGCAGCGCTCCTGTAGATTTCCTGATGATAAAAACTGCTTTTGATTAATAAAATTTATTTTCTTAATATCAGATCCAATGACTGACTCGTTGGTTCTGTTTGAAAGTATTATTATCAGACTGATGAATTGTTCATACTTTTTCTTTCATGTTTTTTAACGATCTTTCTTTAATAGAAAAATGGAAAAATTGAGAAAGCGTCGTCATGCTATTTTAGAATAAGATGATATGAAAAAGTCAATGGATTGTACCATTTTTTAGGTTCACTGTATTTTTTCTTTTTCTCATTCTATTCAAATTTCATCGTAGTTGTTAACAGGGACTTTGACATGAAAAAACTCCGAATTTTCTTATGATTTCTATCGTGCTGATATTATCAATAATTTCTTTCTTTATCTGTTGATAGATGATGTAAGAAGGTAGTGTGTCATTGCTTATTCATCTTTCTTTCATTACCATTTGAATTTATCTAACAGTACAGAACACAAAAGCAAAGAATTAATTCAAAATATTATTTCACTTTTGTGTTGCAATAACGAAATTCTTTTTTATAAATATTGTTGATGTTTATGTCTAAACAGTATTAAATTGTATCAAGCATAATGCAAGATTCGATGAAAAGAAAAGGGAATATTGCAGTGGCAGTGGCAAATAAGAAGAAAAAAAAGAGCAACGACAATGACAAGAAAATGAATACAGTATATCCGATGCGCTTTACATTTCGAAACGACAATGACTTCAATCAGTCGTATGTGGTTACCAAGGATGAATATAAACGCTATGTTGAATCTGTTTGTTGCGAACAATCGAAATGCATCAAATGCGAAATAGGAATTTCCCATGTGAGGCATAGTGGAACTATGAAATTCACTTAAATGAATATAAAAAAATGCAAAAAACTATTAAACTTGGTTATCTGCTGGAACTCGTTGGTGGTGATGATGATGATGATAACAGTAACAGTAAGAATAATTATGAGGAAATGAGCGAAAATGATACGGATATGGACAAGAGTGAACACAAAGACGACGACGAAGATGCTTCAGCAAAAAAGAATCAACAAACAACACAGTAGCTAAGATCAACAGCTCAGGAATAGTTGGTTCTTATTAGAGCTAACTCCCATTGTCGACTTCTTACTTTATTCTATTTTGCTTTAATTTTTTTCTTGTTCAGACAGATTATTTCATTTGACTTAATAAAGCACTTCGCAGTAGTTTAATATACAGTCATTCAGAACATTAATATCACTCGAATTCACTATTTTTCACAGTTTTGATTCCAGTATGTAGAACAAAAGCAGCTTTGAAGATAGATGTGGATGTCACATGATGATAGTACTTTTATCCACATTCTTTTGAATTCGAATCAGTTTTATTTTGTAGATTCTAGTCCAACGTAACATATATAAAGTTAGTTTATGGTGTTATCCTTTTGGAAAAGAGTTATAACAAATTCACTGTTATTTTGATGTATATCAATATTTGAGCATCAGTAGTTAGTACGAAATTTTAGATCTGATATTTTGTTTATAAGGAGGTCTTGTGAATACTAGAAGAGTGTGAATGTGAGCAATACATTCATATCTTACACACTCACACTCTCAAAACAATAGAGAAAAGAAAGAAAATGATCAGTAGAAAAATAGAAAAGTGTCATTCTTGTATTATAGAGCTTTTAAAGAAAGAAAAGAAAACAGAACAGAACAGAACTAAAACGTAACTTTAACTTATCTTATAAAGAGAATGAATGCACTTTACATGTTAGAGAAGAACAAATATTCTTTTATTCGTTTTTAAACACACATAAATGACATTCATTTCGTACTGAAGAGATTTATGTGTCCCTATTCTTACGTTGTCTATCAAGTAAAACTAAGTAAAAAGGAAGTACATCTTAACACTACCCATCTAGAATTCATCGTCGGGAAATTTTCATCTTTAAATCTTCAAGTCTAAGTGCATGAATTTTTTCTTCTTCAGATGGTTGATATTATTTTCATTGGTGGTTCACCTGGTTCTGGTAAAACATCTGTTTGTAACCTTATCAATCAAGATAAATCATGGGTATTAATTGATTTCGGATGGCTCCGTGAATTTCATCTGAATCGAGAATGGTCAAACACTTCAGATGAAGAAGAACACATGTCTTTTGAGAATTTAATATTCATTTTGAAGAATTATCATCGCTACGGATATAAAAATGTACTTGTTAATGATTTAAGTGATGAACGTCTATCACAACTATCAAATTATCTATCATCTGATGAATTTAAATATTTAATTATAACTTTAACAGTTGGAAACGACGATATATTGAAGCAACGCGTTTTGGAACCAACAAGAGATAGTGGATTTCGTAATTTTGAACGGGCAATTGAAGTGAACAGAAATATAAGACAAAGAGAATTAGTTAGAAATGAAGTACAATTAGATAATACAAGAATGACTGTGAAAGAGACAGCTGAGAAAGTTTTGGAGATTTTGGAAGAATTTCAGAAGAAACTTTAAAGTTCTAATAATGATCATACAAAATAAATTGAGTGTCATTATTTGCTACATTCTGTTTCAAGTTTATAATTAAAAGAAATCTATTCCTCATCAAATATATGTTGACAAATTTCATATTATTAGTGTACTAATAATTTGTACATGTTTCTTTGACATTATACCAAATGTTTTTACTATACTATCCATCTGTAATACATTGATCATTTTGTTTTCCATATTTTTTATGCAGAAATCTTTGCAACTACTTACGCCAAATTAATTGACTGAGACTGCCGTCACAATCTCAACTTGATCATCCTTTAAATCATTTATAGATTTCTGCACTTCCACATTCTTCATAATTCGTAGCATTACCGAATAATTGAATGAACGAAATAAATATTTATAATAGTAAGTTTGGAATTATTTATTTAAATAAATAATTAATGCTAATAAATATATACAGATATATGCTTTTCATAATAAGAAAGTTTTGAGCAAGGTGAATTGAAAAGGTTGGTTATTCGTTATTGAATAGCTATCGAACACTTAATACTAATTAAAAAAACATCTTGGTTAAAAACGACTTCTAATTAAGAATAGATAAAATTACACACTTAGGTTAAATACAATGAATATATTCTAAAACGTCCGTTTTGTTCCTTTCTGATGTTACTTGATAGTGGATCGAAAGAAGATATAACTTTACTTACTGGTGAATTCCGAGAAAGGTATCATAAATTGTCAAAATGTGGCAAATAAATAGATTTTTCTAGAAGAATTTTAATATAATAATAATAAATCATGATGTTCCTTGACAGAAATGAGTTTAAGATTACTAATTTAATAAAATTGTCCATTATTAAACTTTGTTTTTTGTTACTGATTTTATATGAATAAAGAAAACATTTGTATAAGACTATTTTAACATAGAAGATGAGTATAGTACGTTAATTAAATTAAGAACGGAAACAACTATCCAGATGAAATTTTTATCATGAATGACGATGTCTATATCTACACTCACCCTCAAGCAAGTATAAAAATATGATAAAAAAGTATATTTGTTCTTTTTATTGAAAACATTTTCTAGCTTTAGAGAGTCAACAGTTACAACTGATTACAAAAAATACTACTCTGTTTTGTTCATTGCCCATGATTTGGCCACATGTTTATCACATTGACTCGTTCATGAATTCGTTGAATAATTTCGTTTATATTTTCATCTGTAGATATCGATCCTGTAATATCCAAAGTCTTTAAAGTTCTATTTTTCTCTTCTAATGCAGTTAAAATATGCATTATACCTTCACGTCCAATATTCATATAACTTATATCCAATCTTTTTAAACCTTGATTTACTTCTAACATTTTTGCAATTTCTCGTGCACCAACATCCGTAATATTGTTCAATTCAATGTCCATAGATTTTAGTTGATGATTATTACCATCGATCAATGCACGACATAAATTTGTTATACCTTCGTCTGTCAAATTTGTACCATACAACGATAGACTTTTCAAGTTGAAATTATTTCCACGGAGTAGAAGATTTTCAGCAATATAACTCACAGCTGTTTCACTTAATTTTATGCTAGAAAAACGAAGATATCGACAGGTTGAAGGTAAATTCAAGGTAATATATTCAATATCATCGTCGGTTAATGTTTCATTGCGGAAAGTACATGTATCAGTTGTACCATTCATATGTTGTCGTATGTTTACCATTTCTGCTATTTTCAATAATTATCGTTTAAAAAAAAACAGTTTGTGTAAGAGTATATTTATGTGTAGTCAGTTGCATCAGAAAAAATAGGTAATGAATAATCGTTGTCTCATGTGTTAATGTAAAAAGAATGATGAAAATTTTTCTTTCTTCCTATTATACATCTGGTAGTAAAATAACATGAGTCATTTTTACGTATTTATTCAAAAGAAATTAATCACATGAAGTCTTTTAGTTCTATCTTCTGTTTAATGAATTTATATATCTTAAAATGAAACATTCGAAATAGATGAGGGTGAGAATACGAGCATAGTTTGTATTATACCCTCATCCTCAGAATATGATCATATGTTATTCTGCTGAAGTGCTGACTTTATTATCCAAAATCGCTGATGTAATGTTCAGCAGCGGAGTATAGAATATTTTGATTTATTTTACAGTCGCAGTCGAACCCTCACTCATACAAGGAAAAGGAAAATGGCTGCCAACTATCGTAATTCAATAGTTCACTGATTCATCGAAGAAGAGGAATGCAAGAGTAAAGTTTATATAAAAACAATTAAAGATAGTATCGTTAGTTTATTCAACCTTCTCTTTAATTTATCATATCTAGTTGAAATTAAAACCAAATAAATACGAAAAATCTGCATGATTCAAAATACTTTCTTCATTAGAGTTGTTTCATTATTTACTTGTTTTTTTTATTCATGAGTTAATGTTTTACTCGATTTAATTGATGCAAAAAAACATGCTACTTCCATCTATCGCCTGCATATATTTGATTTCTACGTCATTTTCAATTATTATTGGTCTCCACGAGATGAGTAATGTTTTCTTCTCACACTGTTCTGCACTTGTTTTTCTCTTTTTAATTTTACTTATGCAAGTATGTGAGCACTATTTTCTTGATTTTAATTTTAATTTTAAAATTTAACTGTCGCGTTTTTGTCTGATTAGATATCATAATGTATTCATTTACTTTCTTACCTATAATTTTATTACTAGTCGGATTGGTATTGGGTGTGCATGGCGGAGATAATAATATTATTATTGGATCGAGTGTTGGCGGATTTTTTGGTTTGGCAAGTTTTTATTTAAAATAATCTGATTATGTTTTTTCAATGAATATAAATTTTTCATTAATTTTAGGTCATCTTAATTCTCGATTTGATTGCTATTTTTGAACTGTTACGAACGAGTGGTCGAGGTGTATGTTCAAAACTTATATGGATCTTGATTATTGTCTGTTTTCCTATCGGTGGTAAGTTTTTACTTAATTTTATTTTGTCTAGTCACCGTTTTTCGTCATTATATTTTCAAAGGTCTTATTCTTTATTGGTGCTGTGCACGAAGTCGCACCGTCGATCAAATTCTTTGAACAAGATGAAAGTGAAAACAAGTGATACTTTTTACTGAACTTTTTACCATTGTGCACATTTGTCTATATATACATATATATATTATTCGAGCTAAATTATTTATGATTGTCAATATTATTCTCGAAGCATAAACAGTAATGAATAAAAATAAATGATCTTCTCTTCTCAATAAAAAAATTTCATTTCTTTTATTTTATAAAAATAGTATGTAGAGAAAATGTAAGTGATTACTCATTATGACGGATGTTAATGGGGATGAGGATGAGGGTGAATATTAGATTATTATCTTTCGCTTATGTCATCACCCACACCCAAAATATTTAATTCTATTTAGGGACATTATAGAAGACCCCATGTCTTCTAACGTGTCGAAACCTTTATTTTTTTTCTGATGAAAGAAGTTATCATATTTTTAAAAGTATCTGTCGAGTCTGGTTCGGATCCGGGCGTAAAAATTTGTATCTGTGCTAGACTCTATAAAGTAACTGTATCGAAAAATGATGATCTTTTATTGCTCATCATAATGACTTATGAATTGAATTGGAATATTGATATTAACACGTATGTTTTCTGGTAATAACTTCATCTGTTTTTTCTTTCATTTTACTGTTATACTATAAAAATATGTTTTCATACATGTTCGAAGAGAAAGTGCGATGACGTCATCGGCAAGTTATAGTCCTTGGATTCAACCCATCATATTTTTTCTATTCTACACAAAAACAAGAAAGTGCACAACCATGAGGAATATAAGTGCAATATAGTCAATAAACACATATACACGTGGATAGATAAAGAAGAAAAAATACTTCAGTGCACATATATATCAATAAAATACACTATTCAATAGAAGTACTACCAATGCCGAATAAAGCACCTCCATCTCTTCATACATTACCCATCGAAATAATCTATTGTATTCTCGACAATCTCGATCGATTAGAAATACTTCTATCAGTTCGTGATGTATGCACACGACTGAATGCAGTTACGAACACTTATCCTCGATATAAGGTAAATTTTTAATTTGTTGAATATCTACTAACAGCAAATATTTCGCCGATATTTTTCGATTAGTTTCAAAGATTTTATTAATATGTTACTATATCAGGAGAAAGAAAATTAGATTTTCGAACTACATTAACAAATAATGAGTTTGATTCTAAATTCATATTATAAAATCTAGATAAAAAATCAATCGCATGGATTTATATTCTCTCCAATTTAGTAGAAAAGAAGAATAATTTTCTATTTAGCTGAATTATTCTTTTCAGTTATATAATGTTTCTGTGAATTCGTTTAATCTCTTGATAGATACTCATTGTGACTGATATAGTAATAATTGATGCGTATTTTTGTAAAAAAAATTATCGATAATGAGTTCAGACTTCAGCATAGTATTGAAATTCTGTAAAAACATATTTACTATTCTTTTAAGTTTCTACTAGTATACTTACGCTTTTTTAACAAGTCTAGTGATGAAAATAAAGTACTTATTTTTTCATCAAGATCGATTCCATACTTAGAAATTCTAGAAAAAAGTAATCATTTTGAAATAATTAGTAAAGCTTTCAGCATTCAATGTAGACATTGTTTGTTAAATATACTTGAAAACAAATAAACAAAACGAAGTTTACATATTTAAGAGATTGGTATGACGAAACTCTAGAAAGTAATCCTAGATATTAATTATTAATTAAAGCATCTTTCTTTTTCGCCTCTTATTTCATAAAACAATGTGTTTTAATTTCTATCTTTCAACAAATCACAAAGTATACGATTAGAGATATTTCTTTTCTAATCAACGAAAAAGTATTAACTTAAAATCAAATTTTATTGAAACTTGTAAATCGTGAAGGCTATCATTAGATTACACTCTATATATATATATAGGAATTCACTGAATACAGTTGCTGTCAGTATCAATTTGACACTCAAAAACTACAGCATTTAGCAAATTCATTACGGAATAATACGGTAAGACAGATAATCTATCATTTTATTTCATGATCGACATCAACCTTCATTATAGACCCTTATAACTCTAAATCTTAGTTCGAATCATCTTGGCGATGAAGGCGCACAGCATCTGGCCAATGCATTGCAGAGTAATAAAGTAAGTCACATTTTACATTCATCAATTACATTACGATGATATTGTCGTTCATTGTAGACACTCACTACTCTAGATCTTGCAAGGATAAGTATCAGCGTTGAAGGCGTTCAGTTTCTAACTAATGCATTACAAAACAATAGAGTAAGTCACATTTTCTACTCATCACTCTTATTCTATAATCATCATTTATTATAGACACTTACAAGCTTCAGTCTTGATTACAACCAGATCCGTGCTGAAGGCGTACAGCATGTAGCTAATCTGTTACTCAATAATACAGTGAGTCAAACTTTCTATTTATCACTCACATTGCTCCGATCATCATTCATTGTAGACACTTAAAACTCTAGATATCTCACAGAGCTCGATCGATCCTAGAGGCGCAGAGTATCTAGCAAATGCACTACAAAATAATACGGTGAACCACATTTTCTACTCATCAGTCTTATTTTTACGATCACCATTTATTATAGACACTTACAACTCTAGATCTTGGGCGCAACCAGATTGATGTTGAAGGTGCACAGCATCTCTTCGGTGCATTGCAAAACAATACAGTGAGTTATATATTTTACTCATCGATCGCATGTCTACGCAATATTATCATTCTCTATAGACGCTCACAACTCTAAATCTTGCACATAACTATATTCATGACAAAGGCATACAGTATCTAGCCAGCGCATTACAGAATAACAGAGTGAGTTACATTTTCCACTCATTTACCATATTTCCACAATCATCATTCATTATAGACACTTACATCTCTAGACCTTTCGGGAAATGAGATTGGAAATGAAGGTGTACGGCATTTAGCCTGTGCACTACAAAATAATAGAGTAAGTCACATTTCGTATTGATCAATCGTATCTCCATAATATCATCGTTCATTATAGACACTTACAACTTTAAAACTCGGGCGAAACGATATCATTCACGAAGGCGCACAATACCTGGCTAATTTATTACATAATAACACAGTGAGTCAGATTCTGTACTCATTACTTGCACTTTTATCCAATTGTCACTGATTATAGGTACTCCTAGAGCTCGATCTTCATTCCAACATTATTGGTGATAAAGGCACAAAGTATCTGGCCAATGCCTTAGAAAATAACATAGTGAATCACATTTTCTATGTATTAATCGTAATCCTATAATCTCATCTCGCATTTTAGACACTGACAACTCTACATCTGAAGGACAACTATATCAGCGCTAAAGGCGCAGAGTATTTAGCCGATGCATTACAGAGTAACCAAGTGAGTGACACTTGCCAGTCATCAATCGAATTTCTACAGTGTTATCATTTATTATAGACACTCAAAACTCTAGATCTTAAGGGCAATTATATCGACGACGAAGGCGCAGAATATCTGGCTAATGCATTGTATAATAACAGAGTGAGTTATATTGTCTACTCATCAATCGTATTTCTACGATATCATCATTGATTATAGACACTTACAAATCTAAATCTTGGAGGGGGAAGTAGCATTGGCCAAAATTGGAAGCATCGGGATATTGCATCTCAAAATAACAGAGTGGGTCATGTTTTCTAATTATTAATCGTATTTCTACGATATCATCATTGATTATAGACACTTAGAAATTTAGGTCCTGAAGAATACACAATCAGCGATAAAGGCGTACAGTATCTGGCTAATGTATTACACAACAATACAGTGAGTTACCTGTTCTACTCGTCAACCGCATTCTCACGGTTATTATTCATCATAGACACTTACAAGTTTAAATCTTCAGTGGAATCGTATCGGTGCTGAAGGCGCACAGTATCTAGCTAATGCATTACAAAACAACAGGGTGAGTCACGTTTTCTATTTATTAATCGATTTCTATAATTGTCATTATTCATTATAGACACTTACCATTCTAATTCTTTCGAGAAATAGTATCTATAATATAGGTGCACAGCATATAGCCGGCGCACTACAAAATAACAAAGTCATTCACATTTTTCATTCATCAATCATATTTCTACGATTATCTTTTCACTATAGACACTCACAACTCTGGATCTTGCTGATAACGGAATCAGCGTTAAAGGTGGACAGAGCTTGGCTAATGCATTACAAAATAATACAGTGAATCACATTTTCCACTCAACTATCACATCTATAGGATTATACTTTCATTATAGACACTTACAACTCTAGATCTTGGAAGCAACTGGATTAGTACTGAAGGTGCACAGCATGTAGCTAATGCATTACAAAATAACAAAGTGAATCATATTTACTATTCAACTATCGTATTTGTACGACTATACTTTCATTATAGACACTTACAATTCTAGATCTTGGAGATAATAAAATGGGCGATGAAGGTGCACGCTTTCTGGCCTATGCACTACAAAATAATAAAGTGAGTCACACTTTTGAATCATGAATTGTATTTTTACAACGTCATCATTCGTTATAGACACTCACAACTCTAAATATTGGGAGAGTCGGTATCGGCAATGAAGGCGCACGGCATTTAGTCAGTGCCTTGCAAACTAATAGGGTGAGTCATATTTTTCGCTCATGATTTGTATTTCTACGACTATACTTTGATCATAGGCACTCAGAACTCTTGATTTTCAAGGAAACAGGATTGGCGACGAAGAAATCGTATTGTTGAAGAAGACGTCAATTAATTTTCAAAGAACAGTTTTCATTTAATTGCTTAAAATAAACTTATCTTTATGCATTGTGTGTCGCGTTAAATTATTTTATATCCGATATTTGTTACAAAACTTATGCAATCAAATCTATGTACAAAATATGTAAAAAAAATCACTGTAGCATTGCATATTATAGTTTGCCGAAACATTTGATTCATGAAAAAAGGTTTTTGATGTTGTATTTTTTGCAATACGTGATGTGTTGATACAGAAGTATGCCATAATAATGTGAACAATTCATTGCAACATGTTTTTGAATGAATAATATAAGCTGTTTTTTCGGTAAAGATGTGGGTGTGGGCTAAGAGAAGATGAATACTCACCCTCAAGTTTGCTTTGGACGATTACAGATTAAGGTAAATGATGAATTTGTCAATATTTTCATAACATAATTTTGACTCAATAATATTTAATTCCGAAAATTTGCCTAGTCTTCATGTGATAGAACGTATCGAATCAGTAATCAACGCTAATGCTGAAAACACAATGTTTTGACTAACATGAAAACAGATATTGAATTATTTGAAACTCTGATTTTTGTATGCATATCCTATCATTATCGATTATGTTCATTAAATGATGACAAAATAAACTATTTTGTACCGTAATTCGTTCGAATTTTACCTCATGTTTTATCTCAATAAAATATTGTAAATGTTGAAAGTTTAACATATCAAAGTCTTCATAATCCTCCCGATATAGTATCGATAGGTTCTGTGTTTTCAAGCTTTGATCTAATATAAAATCGTGAGGGCGTAGATGAGGATAGACACAGTGAACAATCATACCCATCCCACACTAAAAACGTTTTTCTATGAAGAATTATAGATACTTTAGTTATTATTCATCCACACTGAGACAAATGTTGTTTTAATGTAGCAGTTTTTTCTACACAGTATTACTTTGCGCCTCTTTTTATCTTTTGTCAACTCTGATAAGTAAATAGAAGTCTTACGACATTGTTTCGCCATTACGATACCTCATCTTATCTCTTATGTGCAGACACATGCATCGGTGAAACTATAAAAACACCATTAAATTTGAGTTTATCATAGTATTTTTTTTGTCAAACAATAACGATGAAAACTCTTACAAAGTTAACCATTTTTGTGAATTTATATTTATTACATATGAATATTGTAACTGCAATGCGAACATCTGATCTTAAATGGATGGATTCATCATCTACCGGTCAAAGTCAATCCTCGACCGTACCTTCTTCTACATCGTCGTCAACACCCTGGCCAACACCTTCTTCTACAGCGTCGTCAACACCCTGGCCAACACCATCAAGACCTACAACAACAAGATCAACCGTGACGTTTACAGCATCAGGATCTACAACAACAGGATCAACCTTCACACCAACATTCTACTCATCGTCTTCAACTCCTTCCACACCATCATTTAATAAAATAAATATTTTATTAGCACGAAATGTTCAGTTACAAGCTACATCATCACCAGGTGATTATTCCGTAACAATAACCTGTGATGATCCCAGTATTCTTCCATATGTTCGAGCAAATGTTACTGAAGATTCTATGTTGGTTGTTACAGCAACAACAGATTGTGATGTAACTATTGGAGCCTATACTTATCAAGCTATACATCTCGATAGTGTATCACTACTGAGCATGACATCTTATTTATATAGGGGATATGAATTAAAACTGCTGAGCATGGGTAATTCACAGATTCAAATAGCTAATATTGGTTACGATCTAGCAGAATTCACGCTCGTGGGTAATAGTACAATGGAAATAAGTGGCAAGATCGGTAAACTAACTATTATTAGTCGTGGCAAAGGATTCATTGATGCAACTCGTATAGAAACAGCAAATGTCAACGCTACTCTGGCAGGTGTTGGTTCACTTCGAGTAAAATCAACGGCCAATATGAATTTAATCGTTGATGGAACGGGTAATCTAATGTGGTGTTCACCGAAAGTTCAAATGGATGTGACATATGATTATAGAAAGAAAAACATTGTCTACCAGTGTTAAACTTGCAGAAATAAACAAACGAAGAATTTTGATACGGACATCTTTTTGTTTCAATATTTTTGTTTTTCATGAAATTTTAAATAAAATCAAATAACTATTTCAATGAAAAACGTCTGTTTTGTTTTCACTAACAACTGCGCGCTCGTGTAAGTCTCAGATACAGCATCGGTGGGAAGCCATCTTGAAGGTGGGTGTAGATATAAGTGAGAATGATTTACATTCACATCCTCATCCACATCGTACCCAAGTCTTATTGAGCAACTCGAGAATGTGAATTACGATAGATATTCTTTATATTTGCAATTTATATTGCATTACTTGTATGACACTTCTTAAAGCATATTCTTATGAAATATTACCTGTTTATTTGAAGTGAACATGAATAAATAGAAAAGGAGAAGTCGAATGAAAATCATACACACACATCAAAGCTTATGTAAATATATTTGAGAGGATCAAGGCGTAACAAGAATATTTGACTATATGTATATGACTCAGTAGTGTATCACGGTTGAAAGTCATGATAATTATTCAGTTTTTATCGAAGATTTCATATCATTAATAAACAAATAGAGTTAGTAACTTTTCAAAGTATAACATAAAAACAAAAGCGGTTATAATAATAAGAAGAAGAATATTGAGGACGCCATAATGAATGCAGCACCTTGACATTCGTACCCTTGTCCACATCCAAAAAATATAATAGAAAAATTGTCTAGATTTATATAATGTTTTATTGAAATCAAATAGAAATAAAAAGATTATAGATTAGTTTAAATAAAATGTCACTCAAAATGTATAAATGAAATATATATAATAAGGTATGTTAAGTATAATATTAAAAGAAATTTAGTTATATATGAATTATAAAAATTTGTTTGATTTAGTTTCAGGAATAATAGATTATAGATAGTTCTAAATATTGAAATTTTTTCTTGATAATCCAGTATTTATGCTACACAGCATGTACAGCCAGGTCCACAATACACTCCGGGACAATCACATTCTGATGCGCTCATTTGACTATTTATCTTATTTGCAACGTCACTAGATGCTGCTGGTCCCTTGATATATCGAACTTGTCGTGATGGTGCTGCTTCAACAACAGTCATAATTGTAGATAATAATATAAATGTCAATAATAATATTGTAAATTGTTTCATTGTACTACAAAATAAAATGAAAATAAATACTAGAAGATCAGACCATAATAAATTCCGTTTATTCGTTTAACAAGAAAATTTTTCTCTGATCTCTCAACTATTTTGACTAAACTGAAATAGTTTATTACGATGATTATTCATTTCTATACGATTTAATTATTCAAGATTTTTAGAAAAACTTTTATTATGATTTAGTAAATAGAAAATTTTCTTCTTACTTGCGTATAAATTATTTGCGTGAAGTGAATAAATGGTTATGATTGCTTGTTAATTTTTTACCTTCTACGTATTTATATATGTATTTATTAATGCGTAGAGCTACTTCCGTTCTCTTCTTTTCTCCTCGATCAATAAAATAAACCTGACATATGATATTGACAAAATCATGATAAATACTACATTTTCTCTCATCGTTTCGAAATATCATTTATGCATGATATTACAGTTTAATAGGATGTACTCATTTTTTTGTAATTTACCTATCAGTAAAAACCATGATGAAAATATTCAAAAAAAATAAAGTATCGAATAAATTGAAAGACTGAAATTCGTCCTTATTGTCCTTTGGCAGTGCAGATAACATATATATCCCTGGAAAAAAATTCCTATCATCAAAATTAGTTTCCTACATTTTTCATTCGTAGATTGAATATAATACAGAATTTCAAGCTATATCAGAACATAGAATTACGTTACTCGAAAAGTATTTATATAGTCATGAAAGGATGAGTGTGGATGGGTGAACAAGAAGAATTAATACATGATTCACATCATTTATCGACTGGTTCTTTATTTTATACCGAAAGAACATTTTAATAATGGAAGACATTTTTTCATAGGACTATTTCTTAAGGACATTTTTTATAGAGGACATTTACAACACAAGACATTTTCCAAAGGATCAAAATTTGAGGACATTTCGTCAAGGACATTTTTGACGAATGCCTCTTTGTATTTGTTTTTGTAATAAAACGTTTCTTTTTTTAAATCAAGGTTATGCTTTTTCTTATAATTTAACTATTTTTTTCTTTTTTTTGTGTATGATTAATCTTTTGCTATTAAAAGCTATGTCTCTCAATAAAATAAAAAATGGAACAAAAAATTTTAATTCATGACGTGATAGTTAGAGCTATTCAGAAAGTATTGGTTCATACTATCGATTTCATAGAACGAACTAATCGAAAAATTACTAAAATGCACTAATATACTTTTTCGTATGCACTACATACGTGCGTTCGTCACACTTAGGATTGTAACAATTATTCTTCTTATTCACAATAAATGTCCGTAAGAAAAGTCGGTCAATAATAGAACATAAATAACATACATGTACAACAGTGGGATAGAACGAAAGAGAAAAAAATATAACAGAAAAGAAAAAAGTAAGGCACTATGCGACAATTGCTTTACTTATCAAAACTGTTTGCATATTAATTCATTCAACAATTTGATTGAAACACTTTTTTCGACGCTGTCAATGTATATCAACATCGCGATAGTTTATACAGCTTGAAGAATTTTATTGAATTAAAATATAAAAAAGTCATTTAGTCTCAAGCAGTCCTAATCAATTTTCAATTCATATATTTAAAAAATATGCATGCTTTCAATTAAATACATCAAATAAAGTTGCTTCTTTTTAAATTAAGAAAACAATTTACGTGTATCTAGCATATTGCTCTTGGAGAGACTTTTTATTATCAAAGAGACATACTAATATGGATTTTTTTTTGTTATAGAAACAACAAGACTTTTGAGTCAATAATTAAAAGAATCTAGTCAGAAAAATTTCAATAGATATCTCACGTTCTACCAAATCTTAAAATTTTTTTTCTAAAACTTCCAGAGCTTTGTGATGAACTGGAAAAAACTAAGTTTAACTTATTTTTTGCTGATATAGTTTTACGAATAATTCATGATTTGCACGTCTCTACATTGATATGCGTGCCAGAAATTTATATAAAACTACGCCCATACTACCCTGCCTTTTCTCGAGATCAAAAGAATACAAAAATAATTGATTCAAAATTATGCCGGTGTTGGTTACCATTTAAATTTTTATTCTTCTTTATTTACGTAAAACGAGGGAAAGAGAGAGTTTATAAAATAAACAATCATACAACATTCTCTATCGCTTGATTTTTCTTCCATCTATATTGAGAAATAATCCATTAAAATTTCGTCTTTGTTTTTCGCCTCAAAAACAAACATTCCATGGTTAGGCGTGAATGCACTTTTATTGTAAACTCTGAGGACAAACACAGACGCGTATAAAAGAAGGACAAAAAAAAGTAGATTCTATACTCATTTTAGAAACACAAATATTGAATCTCAGTGTGCTTACCATCGTAAATTTTATTATACAAAGAAGAAACAACAGTTGAATACTAACAATATGAAGCGCGTTTTACGCCTTGCCTACGTATTTTTGTCTGTAGTGGGTATTGTGCTTGATGGAGCACATTTTCGTGGTGGTATTATTTCATGGTAAGTAAACCCAATTAACGTTTGTTCTTTCATTCGGTCTTTCATATTTTACTTTTTACATTCTTCTTTCTAGGCGCCCGTTAAATAATACAGTACAGGGTACCACTGCACAAATTCAAATACATCAAAGATATTTTTGGAATCGAGAATGGGGCAGTTTTAGTGCACCTTATTGCACGGAAGCGAATGTTGCTGCTAAAACATCTATTCCAGTCAATGAAGATATGAAATGTTTAGCAAACTGCTCAAGTTCTAACTATCCTTCAGTTGGACTTTCAACTATTATGACAACTACAGACTGTGATTCAAACCCAATCATTGAATCATGGGCTGGCGAACGCTACGATACTTTGACAATGCCTTTGACAACATCGATTACAATTGGCTATCAATCAAGTGCATGGTTTGCTTCACTCTATATTGGCGCTAATGATCCTTGGTCAATTGTCAATCGATTGAATCTAGCTACGAGACCTGATGGTTATATTAATTCCAGTCCTGTTACAACTACATTACCAGTAGTATTTTATCCAAGAAATGTACGAGTAACTCATGTTGTACAAATGGCAGATAATGATGCTACTGACACATTGATATGTCGTTGGTCCACTTCGGCTTCTGGAACCAATTACAATCGTGCTGATGAGTGTGGAGGTGTCTGTATGGGACTGCCCCCTATAACCACAATACTCACCGGAATCAACTGTACGTTGAGTTTTACTCTACCAACTGCTAATCTCTATTATGGTTGTGCACTGCAAATTGAAGATTATTTTAGTAGTAGTTCCCCAAATCCAATGAGTTCAGTTCCAATACAATTCTTATTCTATGCATACAATATTGCATCTGGTGCATGCGCAAATGCTCCTGCAATTATTGGTGTCCGCCCAAACAGAGGTATGAATGTATATTCTATTCTTAATTAAACTCAAACATTTAATAATACTTTCTTTTATCTATTTAATTCTCTCTAGCTTGCATTGGTGTTCCAGTTGGTAAGTACAGTGAATGAATGCCTTTTCTTCTCTTACATTTAAAATCAATGTTTTAGGTGTTCCGCTCACTGAAACCATAGAGATACAAACATACTGTCCTGGTCAAACAATTGTTGATTTGGTCACTAGTTCACCTATTGGAATGACACATAGTGCTATTAGCAATCCAAGTCCTGGTACGTAGTGAATAGTAGTTTATTAGAATGTGAAAAGTTTTGAATTTGAAATATAATATCTTAGGTTTATGGATAATGACATTGTCGTGGACACCAGCAGCATCACAAGACGGTCCTCAAGGTTTTTGTGCTGGTGCAGTTGACAATAGTAGTCTACAATCAGCTCCATGGTGTCTTACGTACCTAGTTGATTATGATTCACCAAATTTAATTCTTCCTCAAGTAGTACAAGGATCAGCAAGTCCAATAGGTACTGTCTTTTCAAATCAGTCACTCTTTTCCATACAAGGTAGGCAATTGTTTTCCTCATGTAGTTTACCTTTATTATTAACTTAATCTGATATTCTTCATCTTCTACTTTAATTAAACAGCAACAAGTGCAGTCGGTCGTCCTTCTCGTAATGGAACAAACGTCTGTTTTCACTTGGACACTACAAATGCATCAGTTCTATGTTATGATGCTGGATATTCTCCAAATGTTATTTATACTGGATATACAATTGTAATTGTTACAACTATAACATGGACACCTGGTGAATCTTATTATGTAACAATGGATAGTGGATTTGCTAGTGGAAGTGTATTCTGTCGTAAGTCTCTTTTTTTGTGACAGTGAAAAATTAGATATTTTATCAAAATTGATGTAACTCTAAAGATGCTGAATCGGCACCTATTACTGATAAAACATTTTGGAGATTCGATATCTGGAATCCAGCACTTTCAAGTACAACTACAACAACCACTACGCCACCAACAACTCATACAGTTACAAGCCTAGGAACAACTACTACTTCAATCAATACAGCAGTAAGTTTATTTAAATTGTCATTTTTTATTTTTAATATTACACTTTTTCATAGTGTACCACAAGTGGAATAGTAGTAACTAGTACCAATGCTTCTACGACTACAACAACTGTCACTACCACACCTCCAACTACAGCTGGTAAGAAATGACATTTTCTATAAAATATTTCTTTTTGATAGAGTACTTTATAATTCATTATTTTGTATTCTAGGTCCAACAACAGCAGGTCCAACTACCACAGGTGCAACAACTGAATCAACTATTCCTGTTTTTTATCCAGCAGATTTCGTAAATTCTTATTCAATTATGATTGATATTTTTGACATAAATTTATATATTTATATTAGGAAAGTGCATGTAAACAACCAGTTGCAATTATGTCAGCTGTTACGATGGTTGCTTTTATGCCTGTACATGCTCTGGCAATGTATGCTGCTTTCACAAAATTTTCAAACATGTTCAAACCATCAAACACCGCTGCAAAAGCACGACATCAACAACGAATGAAAAATATTCTACGACGTTAAAGACAGTTTTCTCTTGTCTCGAACATTTGACATTTTTTGTGTATATTGTTTTATTTTATGTCATAATTATGCCATTAATCAAAGTGTGAAACCAATCTTTGTTTTTGTTTCTAACTAACATTTTTCTGTACCTCTCCCAAAACTAATGGTTTTGAGTGTTTTTTATTTGAATATAAACATTATACTAACATTTGCGTGTAATAAAATATGTATATGAATTGAAAGAGAAAGATCTTTAACTAAATTCTAAGGTCATGCATAATAATAAGAGTAATATCTGTACAAGAATCATTCATATCGTTGGACTATAGAATCTCCATTACAGATAAGGGTATGAATGTGTCACCATCTTGAGG